GACCTCCTGCCTTTCTCTAACTGACCCAGCCTGGGGGTCAGGGACATCCTGCTTCTGCTGACACTCTGGCTCTGACACCACTGGATATTTGGTTTTCTCTTAGCTCAGTGAAGACAGGAACAAGAGAATGGACTCAGATAGACTGCATCCCAAAGAACAAAACCTGGACTTTCAAGATCTATTGTTGGTGTATTTTCTGGTTTGCTCTGCTAAGTTATACTCGTGAGAAAACTAAATTCCATCCCATCTTACCTCTTTCTGTCCTTACACTGTATTTAAGCTTAAGACATGGTGGTATGCATCTTCTCTGTGGTTGAAATGGTAATGATATGTTTCTCTGGGCCAGGTGGAATTAGAAGTAAGCCTCAGGAATGCCCTTCTCTGGATCCAAAGTGAAGGTCTATTGTGTTTTATTACAACAGCATTTACTTTCTGCGCTTAATGCTGTCCTTAGAATGAGCTATCAGGCCCCACCAAAGTGAATTGGACCCATGCATTATTAGGCAATACAAACTTTGGTTTTTAGGGCATGGCATACATCATTCCAGGCTCTTCTTGCTTTGATTGTCTCTGCTGAGAAATCTGAGGTGATTCTAATTGGTTTCCCTTTATAAGTGATTACCCTTTTCTCTCTGACAGCTTTAAGGATCTTTTCCTTGTTCTGAGTTGATCCTGTGTGGATTATAATGTGGCGGTGGGATGTCCTATTCTGGTCTGGTCTATTTGGGGTTCTAAAGGCTTCTTGTATCTGGACAGGCCTATCTTTTTGCACGTTTGGGAAGTTCTCTGCTAGGATCCTGTTAAACAAATTTCCTAGACCATTAACTTCTGTTTCTAGGTGCTCCTCTACACCCATTATCCTTAGATTAGGCCTTCTGATGGTGTCTTCCAGGTGTTGGATAGATCTATCATATTTCTTGGACTTGTCTTGGATGGTTGTATGTTCTTTCTCTATAATATCTAGGCTGTCTTCAATCCCTGAGATTCGATCTTCTGCATGGTCTAACCTGCTGTCAAGACTCTCTACTTTGTTTTTTATCTCTTTTCCTTCTAGTTGGTCAGCTTTGATGGCTTCAAGTTCTTTGTTGAAGCTCTGTTTTAGGTCTTGTATGAATTTCTTTACTTCCTTAATTTGGTGTTCAGTGTTTGTCCTCAAATCGCTTAGTTGATTGGTTATGGTTTCTTTGGGCTCCCATTCCTTCTGTTGGGTTCCATTCAGCATTCCCTTTGTGGTCTCCCTGACTTCCTTCAGCTCTTTGTTAATGGATTCCATGAATGCCTTTAGTGATCTTTGTGTGTTCTCTACCCGGTCTCTCAATTCCTGTATTACTCTTTGATTAGCTTCCTCCCGTTCGTGGGATTCCTGCAGATCTCTTTGAGTGTTCTCAGCCTGCTCACGCCATTCCTCCCTTTCTCTTTGAGTATTCTCAAGTTGTTCACGCAAATCCTGTATCAGTTTTTGAGTAGCTTCCTCACGCTTATGATATTCCTGTATAAACTTCTGGGATGCCTCCTCTCTCTCCCTATCACGCTCATACAGAGTCCTTTGTACATTGTCAAACTTTTCATTTATCATGTTTGCCACCAGTGTTTGTAGAGCTGTTTGGGAACTCTCCTCTGGATTATTCATTATCTCTTCTAACCCCTGATTATCAAGATTGGGAATTGAGATACCCGAATTTGCCATTTTTCTTGTGTTTTTCCGACTTACTCTGCCCATTTGAGATGAAGATAGCACCAGTTTTGTGCTAGAACACTATCTTAAGGCAACCATCAACCAAAGTTTGCATTTGTACAGTCAATAGTCTACAGATACAATCTAGTTCAGCAGATACATCTATTCGATATCAAACAACTATATGTTAAAGGGCTACGAACCGCAGAGAAGAATTTGGAAAACCAGAAATTATTAGGGTTAGGGAGAGATGTGGGTAAAAAATAGGAATAGATTGGTGTGGGGAGGCACAGGGAGAGTTAACTATGTCCTAATCACAATGCAGGAAATAGGTTGGGTAGGATGCAAGTAGAGAGAGAGAGAAAAAGAAGAAAGGGAAAGGGGAATGAAAAGAGACCAGAAAAAAAAAAAGAAACGTAAAAATTAATGTTATTTTAGAGATTAAAAGACCATCTATTTATAGAGGAATATGAATATGTTGAGAGAAAGGGAGGGACATAGAGGAGATGTGAAAAACTTTAAAAAAATGCTTAAAATATTATATAGGTATAAAGAGGTAGTACTGCTATTAATGAATTTAAGTCTCAGAGGTTTTGAATTGAGTAATAAGTTTGTGGATTAAGTGTGTACACAATGGGGGATAGGGTCTACTGGTTAACTACGGGTTTATCTGAGGATGTGCAGGACAAGAGTTAAGTCATATAAAGAAGAACAAAGAGGAAAAGATGGAAAGGATAGGAAAGTGAGAAGAAAAGATCAGAAATTCAGTAGAGCTAGACAAAAAACAAAAAGATAATTAAGAATGAAAGAAAAAGAGAAAGAAGACAAGAAAAGAAAGGAAAACACACATTCACGTATTCCTAAAATAAAAATTATAAGAGGAGAAAGAAAAAAAAAAAAGTTAATGGAAAACAATTATTTTTTCAGAAGAGGCAAAAATTAAAGATTAATAAAAGTTTTAGAATAGCAAAAAAAAATTTTTTTATATATATAAGGTAACAAAAGACGAAAAAAAAAAACAAAACAAACAAAAGAAAAAAGAAAAGAAGAAGAAGAAAAAAAAAAAGTTCTTTGATTTTTTTTTTTTTTGGGAGGGGTGGGAAGAGTCTTGTATCTCCCTTTTGTCTGTAACCAGAGTCTGGTTGGAGTCTCTGGTCAGCTTGAGGTCCTGTGGCTTGATTGGTTTCTTAAGTCAGTTTGTTGGAACAGGCAGAAAAATGCTCTGCTTTACCCAAGATTTTGAGATCCCCCTCCTAGGTTAGTTTACTGGGAGGGTGATCTGCTTTGAGAATCACAAAAGAGGGGGATGCAGTGACGAGGCTAGGTTCTGGGTAGAGTTGAGGCCTTTCTACAAACAGTAGCTTTTCCCTGGGGCTATTTTGTGAAAAAAACTCACAGCGCCCAGCCTGGAGCCATTCTCAGGGTTTCTGTTTTTCAATTGATTGTGGTGGCTGCTAGAGGGAGGGGCAGCCTCTGGCTCTGGTTACCCGGTGAGGAGAGCCACTCCAATGGCTGGCGCCTGAGCTGGGTGACTTTTCCCTGGATGGAACTGAGTCTGTGAGGTCACTTCGCCGTTAAGTTCTTGTGACCTGCTAAATGACTCGTTTTATTCCAAGGCCTGAGCTGGAGCTAGCCGCTCCTCCGAGCTTTGTCGGTATCCAAGATGGAGATCACCGGTGCTGGGGGGGGAGGGGTGGCCTTCCCTCCTCTGCTCCCAGAGAAGGAGTGAGGAAGTCGGGCTTCTACTCACGCCGAGTCTTGGATCCTGGGTCATCTCTGGTCTGCAAAGTGCAGGATGAAGTTGTCCGCTCCTTGTCGGTTCTTGCTGGTGTTGAGTAGAATCCGCTCGTCCGCTGCGTCTGGCTCCTTCGTCCCGGACTGTGTCTCAGGTATGCCTCCGCGGCGGTGGTCGCCCCTGCGACCCTGCCGCCGCAGCAGCAGCTGCTGGCAGGCGCTCAGATGTGTCTGCTTGGCTTCCCCTCTCTTGACTAACTCTCTGTCCTGTGATGGCACACTTGGTGTGATTCTCTGGCTTGGGACTGTTCACTGGAACTCTGAAACTGTTTTCTATGCAAGAGCTTGTTCAGATTCCAGCTTCTACTCCGCCATCTTCCCCCAGTGCTACACTGGCAATTTCTAGGCAATACAAACTTTGGAAAACACAGGCTTTCTTTGGATAATAATGTTTTGCTAGAGGCAAGGTTGGTGATTTCCTAGAGATTGCAGAAAATGAGGATATTGAGCGCCCCAGTCTTCAACTTGTCAGCTTATTACTTTTTATGAAGAAACTGAGACCAGATGCCCCTCAGTAGATGAATGGATCAAGAAAATGTGGTATACATACATACATATATATACATACATAGATATAGATATAGATAGATATGGGAATTCTATGTCTCCATCAGAAAGAATGACATCGCCCCATTTGTTAGGAAATGGAAAGACTTGGAAAAAATTATATTAAGTGAAGTAAGCCAGGCCCAAAGAAACATAGGTCCCATGGTTTCCCTTATTTGCAATAACTAGTACATGGGTAGGACAAGTAGAAAAGGTCAAAAGCTCTGTACATATGACCATATAAGATGATGTTAAGTGAAATGAACCCCAAGATAGGGACACAAATATTTTTTTCCTTCTTGCTATTGTTTCTAATGTATTTATAATGTACCATGTGATTTTTGTTGTTGTTTCTTTGTATAATCCCTGTTTTTACTATATTTGATGTTGGTGCTTTGCATCTTATATATACACTTCTCTAACTTGGGAAGGGCAAGGGAAAAAACAAAATGCTTAAATAGGTATACAGGTGGACCCATTGTAACAATGAGATGTACAAGACACTATGTTGCAAACAAACTTCACAACTTTGGCAGGGTGTGGAGGTGGGAGGGAAAGTAGGGGAAAAACAAAGGAGCAGGCAACAATGCTTGATAGGAAATGGACTCATTACCTTGCTTGTGTTACTGTAACCCATCTGTACTGCATTTTTACAATAAAAAACATATTAAAAAAGAAACTGAGACCCAAGGTGGGCCATTTACATGGCAAGGTTGGTAAGGCTGAGAAGGGGGCGGGGGGTGATGGTGATGCTCAGGGGAAGATGTTAGATATTGTTTAAAGGGAGCAAGGTCTTCATGGCATTTTGGGAAATCTGTGGCATCCAGGCTACTGTAATTATTGGGGGGGGGCAGGTGGCAAGTGAGGAGACCTCAGAGGTCCCGTTTGTGACCCACAGTGGTCAGTGTCTCAAGTGGCATCTGTTGTATTGGGGGAGACGGACATACTCATTGCTGATGCTTTGTTTCTTTTCCTGGCCCTGTAGCCATTTCAATATGCCTTCTTTGCTGTTGCTGGAAGCCATCTGCATTTTCCTGTTTTCCAGAGGTAAGCTGGTTCTTGGCAAGGAATAGATAATGAAGTACTGGGGCCTTGGTTTGCTTCAAATTACGCTGATCCTTTTTTGTTAACATATATTTTATAAATGAATGGATTCCATCAAGACTTTTTTTTTTGTGAAAATACCATACAGAGGGGTTACAATTACATGGGCAAGATAATGAGTACGTTTCTTATCAAGCATTGTTGCCTCCTCCTTCGTTTCCCCTTCCCATCCCTTCCCATCTCCCGCAATGAAATGTTTTGCCTGAGATTCCTGGCAGCAGGTTGGAGACCTTCCAAATATGTGCCTAGATAGAGTGTAAGGAGCCTCACCTGGAGAATTGGTTCGTGTGTGTGTGTGTGTGTGTGTGTGTGTGTGTGTGTGTGTGTGTGTGCCAATCCTGAGGCATAGTCCCTGAGCATTTTTGCTCAAGGTTTATGCTCTACCACTTGAACCACAGCTCCGCTTCTGGAGTTCTGGTCTCCCTGCCTGGGCTGGCTTCGAACCATGAACCACAGATGTCAGCCTCCTGAGTAGCTTGGATTACAGGCGTGAGCCAGTGGCACTGTTCCTAACCAGGGACCCAAGTTTTCAGAATCACTGTTTCTTCGTAGCCCAGCTATGTATATTTTTAATGTTTCTCTTCAAAATATTCAAATCTAAATAAAAAGGCACCTCATAAAAATGGAACAATTTTCTTCATACTATTTAATGCTATGCAGGGGATGACATTTGGGTAAAGATATCCAGAGATGGAACCAAGGGCCTTACACACGCTAAGCCTGTACCCCAAGCCTCCCGTGTGGTCATGTCTGAGATACAAATACCATTGGACTACTCCAGGTTTCCTTCCTTGTTACGAGTTCATTCTGGTCACATAATGATAAGATGAAGAGTCCCCTCCATCTTGCCTTGTCTTGACTGCTTCTGGTGTTTTCTCTCCTAGCATCCCCATCCCTCCCATTTCAGGAAGTCCATGTGAGCAGAGAGACCATTGGAAAGATTGCTGTTGCCAGCAAAAGTAAGCCTGTGTTTACCTATCCCTGCCAACCCCCATTCAGGCGTCTCTGAGAGGGACCAAGAAAAACCATGTTCTCCCTGAGAGATGCCACCCCGCTCCCAGCTCCCTTTCACAAAGTGGGCAGGTATTTTCTCCAACCAGGGGCTTGGCCAAGTAAGTCTCCTTGGAAAACAAAACAAAAACAGGTCACATAAACAGCCTCAGTGAATTTTTGTTGCTGATTTCTTGGCTGGTCCCTCAACTACCCAGCCACCCTCATGTTCCGCCATATTCCTTCCTCTCCCATCCTAGTCAAGACTCTTCCAAGTGCTTAAGCGGCACCCGATTTCCAAGACACTCTGCCTATCCCTTCCTCCCTTCTCTAGTGAACTCCCTTCATTCCCAGCGGCTCCAGTACTTCCTTCTTGAGAGGTACCATCTCCATGGTGACTCCCTGACTCCTCCACTTCCCTTCAGATGCTCCTGCTGATGTGGGAGGAGCCAGATCATTGGGTTTGGTTCCCTGCTCTACGACTTCCTGGTACCTTGGTTCCAGAAAGTTACAAAATGTTTCTGCCCTCTGCTTTCCTCATCAGTCCAGTAGAAGTGAAAAACAAAAATAAATCTCTGCAGATCTGGGGAGTGGGGACTATGGTCACTAAAAGGTACAAGATTTCTTGAGGTGAGGGGGAAAACGCTCTAACATTGACTGTGAAGGATGACAGAATTCATCCATGAATCTGCTAACGAGGTGAAACTGGACACTTGAAGTGGAAGGATTGTATGGCATGGGAATTAAATCTCAATACAAATTTCAAAGGAGAAAAGTTTGATCTGTTTCGGGGTGGCTGTGGGAATTAACTCAATGAGTTACATGTAAAATGTCTCCATGTCTGCCATGTTTGAGGCAGTGTGGCAGGTAGGAAAAGCACAGCCAGAGTAGCTCTGATTGCTGCTACTTCAACTCCTGGGTCACATGGCCCCATGTGTCAGGGTGTCTGACTGTATGACACCTGTGATTATGTGACCATGTGACCACATGCCCTAGATTATGGCCCCTCGAAGGCAGGGACCATAGCTGTTCCAGGAGACCCTTCTTACAGAGCTCAGATTGGGCCTGGATGAGCATTTACAAGGTCCTTACCAGGGAGTCTTTGCAATATGGAGAAATCTAGTTCATTCTCCCCTGTCTGTCTCACTCTCTCCAGTGATGTGGTGCTCAGCGGCGCTGGACGTCCTGTTTCTGTTAGATGGTTCTCACAGCATTGGGAAAGGGAGCTTTGAGCGGGCCAAGCACTTTGCCATCACAGTCTGCGACACGCTGGACATCAGCCCCAAGAGGGTGAGTACCAGCCTTGTCAAACTGTGTATCTGAGTAGCTCAGTTAAAAGTGACAAGAAATCCTTGAAGTGACCAAGAAACCCTTCAAAGTAGTGACCAATTATTTTAGTCTGAAGAGTCAAGATGACAGGCATCTGGATGTTGAGGTGAAAGACGAACACACAGCTCTGATTTCTCAGTAGAGAAGGTGTTGTGTTTGCAGAACCATGGAAAAAGGACACATATTGATCAGACAAGAGTATTAGGATGAAGTACAACTCCTGCCCTCTCTTGCAAAGATATGCACCTACATCCCACATCTTTCTTTCTTCTTCTCGCTTCAAATATAGGTCATAAATATTAGCAGACTGTGGTAGCTATGTCCCTGAAAGGTGCAATTCTGAAACACACAGTAGAAAAATGGACAATGAATGTGGACAGATCATTGCCAAAAGCCAAACACAAATGGTCTTTAGGCACGTGGAAAGATTCCCAGTGGCATTTCTAGTAGTGAATCTTGGACCAGCATTTTTCAGAAATCCAAAGCTAAGTGTCACACTCCATGGGCAAACCTTTAAGAAACTCATGTTTTCATGCCCTATTGGTGGGAGGGTCAAATGGTGAAGCCATGGAGGCTTGCCAACAAGATCCATCACAGTGACAGAGGCTTGGCCCTTCTGACCTAACAGTTCCACTTGTAGAAATTTATTCTGCCCATACTGCCACCTCTGCAAAGTCATTGCTCCTTGTAGCTCATTGAGTGTTATTTGTAATAGTGTAAGGTTTCAGGCAATCTGCGTAGCTACTGCAGGGACCAGGTTAATCCACAATGGTGTCTTCGTGTAAGGAAAACTCCAGGCATCTGTACACAGGGAGTGAGAAAGTGCTCTGACATGCAAACGCATCAGAACAGATAAAGGTAAAAAGTAAGATGTAAATGGTATGGAGAATCTGATGCTTTTTACATAAAAACGAAGAGAAGTGAATGAAAACCTAAACTATAATGGCATGTGTAGGCATAAAGAAAGGAGAGAGGCTTGGCTTATAAGGGGCCAAGGGTAGTGGTTTCTATGGGAGATAAGGGTGGGAATGGAGAAGATTAGGATTCAACTCCAGCAGGAGACTCAGCAGAACAAACTTTGAAAAACACATTCTCGATCTTGAAACGTATGAACCTTCTACCCCAAACTCAAAAGTTTAATAGGAAGGGTATTTTGCCCTGGCAAGCCATAATTATTTGAATTACAGATTAGTCACATACAGGTTGAGGAAGGAAGTAGTATGCCAAGATGTCATTCCTGGGTTAATTCCCAATAAAACATCTAAGATTTAGGAGCATGTGTAGCTTGTAATGAGGACCAGATTTTCTGCAGAATGACGTGAGAGCATGAGCACCTTTCCCTGGGTCTTAGGCACTGGCCTGGTCTCTGCAGATACCATAGCAAATGCTATTCAGTCTGGCCACATGCAGCTTGGAGGCTCCAACTATGAGGTCAGTTAGGTATCAATCCTAAAAGAGCCAGGGCAGAGGATGGATGCATTTCTGCCTCCTCTAGACAGTGCTTTAGTTTTGTCATTGTTGTTGCCGGTCCTGGGGCTTGAACTCAGGGCCTGGGCACTGTCCTTCAGCTTTTTAGTTCAAGGTTAGTCCTCTACCACTTGAGCCACAGCTGTACTTCTGGCTTTTTGTTAGTTAACTGAAGATAAGTGTCTGTCCTTATAAGACTTTCCTGCTCAGGCTGGCTTTGAACCCCAATCCTTGGATCTCAGCCTTCTGAGTAGCTAAGACTATAGGCATGAGTCGCTGTGCCCAGCTCGGTGCCTTACTTTTCAAATGATTGTCTAGGAATCATTGCACAGTGAATCATGGAGGAAGAGACAGAAAGATCAAACACGGGCATTGACATAGCATGTTTTGTGATGATAACCTGGAGACCTCTGAGGGCAGCAAGAAAGAAGAAAATAACTGGACAAATTATTAGTGAATATTTTGCAGAGGAGGAAACAGAGAGGCCAAGTAACTGAGCAGGGCCACAAAGCAATCTCAGGAGACACTTACATGTGGAAGAACCAGGGCTCTTGGCTCTCAGCCCAGTACTCACTCCATTGGGCCATCTGTCTCTCCCAATGGGCAGCCTCTATGTGAGGGAGAAGTGATACTCAGGATCCATCATGCTTTGCTATCACATAGCAAATAGACAGCCAGCAACGAGGTGGTGCAGGAAGTCTAGGAGAGGAGATAGAAGACAGGAGGACAAGCAAGTCAAGGAACTTTGTGGCTGGTGCTGTGGGGAGTGGACCCATTCATTGGGTCTGGGAAATTCAACCTCAGTGTTGCTGGACCACTATGTCCATTGAGTTTCAGAAGGACTGCTTTAGGTTAGATATTGGCAGATAGACAGTGCCTATAACAGAGAGCCAAGAAGGTAAGAGCCCCAGAGATAGCCATAAAAATGGACCCTAATTATCTTTTTCATCTGGAAGAGAATGCAGAATGGCCTATCATATTAAGAAGTTAGAACCTGCCATTTGAGCTAGCGAAAGACTTTCTCCTAGCTAGAGAAAACGGTGTCTTACTGGGATGGGTGAGTGTCTTGACCGAGTTCACAGACCACCCTGTGTGGAGGGTTCTGCTTTAGAGTGATTTTTGTAGCTTCAGGCATTATACTTTTATTGCTGTATTGTTGGTGGTAAGGGGGCTTCAAGCTTGAGAGGCTGGTGCTCTACCATTTGAACCACACCTCTGACTAGTTATTATGCTAGTTATTTTTCCAGACAAGGGCTTGTGAACTTTCCTGACTGGGCTGGCCTTGAACCTCAATTCTCCCACTATCCAGCCACCCAAGTAGCTAGGGTTCTAGATGTGAGCCACGAGTACCCAGCTTATTGCTATGTTTTTGTCTCTTTTTTTGTTTGTTTGTTTTTTTGGTTTTTTTTTTTGCACACAAGGGATTTAATCAGCACTCTGTTTTGCTTTCTCTATCTTCCGTTTTCAGAAGAATTTTCAAATAGTTTTCAATTGAGGCTTTGTTTGGATACTCTGCTACTGAGGTGTATTGGAGGTGTTTGAAGTCTTCCTCTTAACACTAAAAGCTGAGAGTTCACTTCCTGCTCTAATAGACCGATTAAAGCTATTGAAGCGAAGTGATTGCAGTGTGGTGAGAAATCTGGGCGGGTTTGCTTCTGAGAGTACAGTAAACTGAAGATAAAAGGCAGCTATTTGCTCCCAGACCGCCAATTAAATTAAGTGCCTTAAGTACTGACTTTGCCTGTTTCCTGCCTGTTTTGTTTTGAAGTTGTATCCTTCCTGTTTAACCCAAGTAAATAGACCCAGCTGCTGGTCTTAAGGAATTTTTTTTTTCTGTCTCCTACTTACCTGATCAACTGCATATACTTTTTAAAAAATATTCTTAGCATAAATCAGTTGTATAAAGAGATTTCATTGTGATATTTACAAGCATGCAAATAATGTACTTTGATCCTACCCAACCTTCCCCCTTTATCAGAAAGGATAGCTTAGTCTACACCTCATTGTGTCTCCCATCTTTTTACTATTACATCATCTTGGAAGAGGATCCATATTGATAGATAGAGATCTATTATTCTTACAGCTGTGCCATAGGATTTACTGAGGTCTAATTAATCAACCTACTAATAATGGAGATTTATGATTATAAATACAGTGTGATTTGTAAATACTTGATTGCACTTTTATGGAAAGAAATCTACAGGATAAACTCCCAATAGTCTTGTGCACTTTTAATTTTTAATGAATATTGACATATTTTCCTTTGAGGATGCTGTGCCAATTTTCTTTTCTTTTTATTATGTTTTTGGCAGGGGTGGGGTGGGGTGGGGTATGAGGCTTGGACTCTGCCCCTCAGCTCTTCAGCTCAGGCAACTGCTCTATCACTTAAGCCACAGTGCCACTTCCGGTTTTCTGATGGTTTATTGGAGATAAGAGTCTCATGGACTTTCCTGTCTGGGCTGGCTTTGAACCGTGATCCTCAGATCTCAGCCTCCTGAGCAGCTAGGATTACAGGCGTGAGCCACCAGTGCCTGGCTAACTGTGCCAGTTTTCATTTCTCCCAGTGATGTCTGAGTGTTTTTGCTAAAGGGAAAAAATGATATCTCTTCATGAGTAATGTAAATCTGCTCTCCCTAAAAATGAGAAAGCCAAACATATTTACATTCAAGCACCATTCATATTTTCTGTTCTGTGACCTTTGTTTCTGTACTTGTCTGGTTTCTGTTGATTGTTGTTCTTTTTCATATTGAGTCCTATAAACACTATATATATTAAGAAAACAAATCTTTGTCCTCTAACATAAGCTGTAAATAATTTTGTCTTCATTTGTTTTTATTGCATTAAGCTATGTTTTGCCCTACATAGGTTTTTCAGGGATTTTTCTTGTTGCTTTATTTTTCTGCTGGTCAGATTGATCAGTCCTTATTTTACACTTTAAAGAAATTTTAATTCATAAAGTTGTATTTTCTTTCTTTTTATGCCAGTCCTGGGGCTTGAACTCAGGGTCTGGGAGCTGTCCTTGAGCTTTTTTCCTCAAGGCCAGTCCTCTACCACTTGAGCCACAATTCCACTTCTAGCTTTTTTGGTGGTTAATTAGAGATAAGAGGCTCCTGGCCTTTCCTGCTTAGGTTGGTTTCAAACAGTGACTCAGATTTGAGCCTCCTGTGTAGCTAGGATTACAGGAGTTGTGCCCAGCTATAAAGCGGAATTTTTAATTCTAGTACACCTCTAATTACAAGGGAGTTTTTCCAAGGGTTCTTCTGGAATTTTTATGGTTAGGGTTTTCACAGTTAAATCTTGAGTCCACTTGCAATTTATCCTTAATGTTTCATAGGTGGCTATCCAGTTGTCCTGCTCCATGCCTCCAGTTCTAGTGTTCTGCTGATTAAGGGGGGGTGGGGGAGGAGCTTGGAGGATTTACCTGCCTTAGTCTGGTTTGGAACCACAATCCTCAAATCTCAGTCTCCTGAGTAGTTGGGATTACAGAAGTGAGTCCCAGTGCCTGTCCCAATAAATTCAAGGGAAATCAGGGAAAGACTGTTTGTCAGAAGCTTCTTGGAGTTGTCCTCTGTTCTGTCTTCCAGTGTCCATCACCCCAAATGTCAATATAAGATTTATATTTCTGGTTTAGATGCCAAACAGTTTCCTGCCTGTTGGAGGGAGGCCAGTTGGGCAAACTGAGGACATCAGCTCTTTATCTCCCAAGCTCCAGAGCAAAAGTCTGCATAATGGTTTAAATGGGAATCGCCTGTCCCATTGGAAATCTTGGCCAGCATGCTGACCGACCTTAACTGCAGTATTACTTTGTCTTCATTCTAGGGACTGATTGTCCCCTAATCTGACTCTGATTTAGAGACCTAGACTTTCCCCAGGTTGGTATGAAGCAATCTCAGAAGTCTTGCCCACATGCAAAGGATGAGGGGTTGGTAGTTATAGCTAGTGATGATCCACTAGTGGTGGTGTTTGGGGAGAGCTTCTGTTGACTCCTCAATTGGGTCAGCTAAAGGTCTGTGTTGGTTTCTGAGAAGGCAGATGCTAAAATTGAGCCTTAAGGAAAGGCCAGAGTTTCCAAGTCCAATGTTCTGGACCCCTCCCTTGCTAGCCCTGGGCAAGTAAGCCCTTGTACATGACCTTTATTCCATGTCACCTGCACATTTTGGTCTGTGCAGGAATAATGTGCATTAGCTGTGCCTCCATGGATCACATGAGCTAATAACAACAGCACCTGGGCCTGGAGGGCAGTCAGCAGGTATGAACGAAGCTCTGTCTTAAGGCTGATTGCTGCTCCATTGAAAACCTTCAAGGGGCTGGGAATGTTGGCTTAGTGATAGAGTGCTTGCCTAGTATGCATGAAGCCCTGGGTTCAATTCCTCAGTACCATATAATGCTAGCCTTGAGCAAAAGAAGCTCAGGGACAGTGCTCAGGCCCTGAGTTCAATCCTCAGGACTGGAAAAAAAAAAAGAAAGAAAAGAAAAGGTTGCCAGGGTGTGTATTTTCCTCTTGGAGATAGGGCATGAAGCAAGTAGGCAGGTTTGACCATTTCCTTCTAGATTCTTGGCTGGGCAGTGGTACTTGTTGGTGGACAGGAAGCAGGGTTGGTAGCTTTTCTCCTCCTTTCTTTCCATTGTGGAATGTTTAAAATTTGACCCCAGTCTTGGGCCACTGCCCCCATCCCCCACCCGCCTTCCACTGCTGCAGGTCAGAGTGGGAGCATTCCAGTTTGGTTCCACTCCTCATCTGGAATTCCCCTTGGATTCATTTTCAACCCGAAAGGAAGTGAAGACTGAACTCAAGAGGATGGTTTTCAAGTGAGTATGATCAGATATTGCCATGGCTGGGATGAGGCCAGTGGCCTTGAAAATTATCCCTAGAAGGGGTCAGCCCTGCTTTGAATATTTACTGAGTACTCAAAGTACTCAGTACTCAAATACTGAGTACTTGAGTACTGAGTACTTACTGTGGGCTGCTTCCAGTGCCCACTCTATGCATACTGGGTAAAGAAATTTCCTTCTCAAAGCCATCCCTCTTCATTGCATGTTAATGTGCCGTGGGAATTCAAGTGCAAGCGGAAAAGCTATTTGCTGGTTTTATGTATAGTCAGTTGGCCTAGGACAGAGGCTTTTCTTTTCATGGTCAGACTGCAGTGAAGTGTGTGGGTTTGGGGAAGGACACTCAGTCCTAGTTGTCTAAGGAGGCCCTTGCTGCTTGCACTTCCCCGAGAGTCATTTTTGTGCTCTAATAATAGAAGTGTCCGTCTGCTGTGGAGAGTGCTTTAAAATGATGAATACCTGCTAATGAATACCTGCTTGTCTGTGTACATGCTAAATAAATGTCTGAGTGATGTGTACGTAGTGGGGTTGTGATTTCTGTTACAAGGCAGCTGATGGGAATGTATTTACTCATATAGATACACACACACTCATATATATACATACATGCACATATTTTATGTTATTTATGTACATACATGTATAATCTACTTGTTATATGAATGTATCCTTCATGTGAATATGGGTATATCATGCACAGATGCACGGACGTGCATACACATATACACACACACACACCTCACACCTTCAACCACTCTAATCTCCAGCTCTGCTCTCGCCCCTGCTGTCCCTCTCTGCTGGTATCCAGTAAAATCCTACTGAAGTGTGTGAAGTGTGTGTGTGTGTGTGTGTGTGTGTGTGTGTGTGTGTGCACATGCGCGCATTTGCCACATTTTGTTGCAAAATTCCAAATCTCCAAAGTACCTTTTCCAGTCACAGAACTCTGTCATGTGCCAGTGCTTGCAAAAGCCGAGGGCCCCAGGGATAGCTAGGAACCCTAAGGTAAAGATACCTTTAGCTGTGCATCCCAGCTATGTCCTCTGTTTTGGGTGCCTTGCCAGGGATATGCAAGAAAGTGCAAGAGGAGAAAGCAAAGCAATATGTGGGATTTTAAAAAATGGATTCGTATACATTTTTTAATCTTTCCCTTGGGAGCAGTTTGCCCATATAAAAACTTGTGTGTTAATGCTCATAACAGCACTGATTACAACAGCCCCCAGCTGGCAACAAGACAAACGTGCAACTGATGAATGGATAGACCAAGTGTTCTATATCCATCCAACTAAATGATATTTGGCCCAAGAAATGAATGAAGCACTAATTTGTGCTACATCAAAAATTCTACCTTCCCAGGAGGGTGAGATCTGAGGATCACAGTTTGAATCTAGCCCAAGCAGGAAAGTTTGTGAGACTATTATTTCCAATTAACCAGCAAAAAGCTGAACGTGTAAGTGTAGCTTAAGTGTTCCAGTGCCATTCTTGAGCAAAAAAAGCAGAGTGAGAGCTTGATGCTCTGAGTCGAAGCCTTAGTACTGGCGCACACACACATAGACACACAGATACAGACACAGACACACAGACACAGACACAGACACAGACACACACACACACACACACACACACACACAGTGCCAGAGGAGGATGCTAGGCCTTCCAAGTACCTGACCACACATTTTTGAGAATGTGCTTGGTTAGCACTTGCAGATCTTTGCAGGACTGAGATGGGACAAGACACGGAGGTAGTAGCTTATTTTTGGCCACAGTTGTGGGGTCCCCAGGAACACTAGAAATGGAGATAGGCTCGTGTCTGTCGGAGTAGAGGAATGATGACTGAATGGGAGAGGATCTCCCATCTCCTTGTCTCTGCTCTGCAGTGAGACTTTCAGGGCTGGGCTAATCAAGACAGGCAGCACTACCTACAAGGCCCACTTGCTTTTCAAGACCAAGGCATCCCCTCAAAGTGCGTTCTGGGATGGCTAAGAAACCACCCTGACAATTGTAGGATCTACTGCTCTCTGCTGCAAGGCTTGGCCCCTCTGCAGCAGCCTGAGATCCATCCACTGACTCACTCACGTTTTTTACCCAGTGGTCTGTCTGAAAGGATGCCTGCATGAGTCTTCTAGTTCAAATTCCACTTATTAAACAGTCCTTGCTAGGAACTGTGAGGATAAGACACACAGGGCCATTGATGTCTGGCCTACTGTAACCTGATCTGCAGACCATCAGACATTGAGGCCCTCCTATCAGATCTTCGTAGTAAAACCCCAGCTCATCACTCTACAGATTCTTACTTACACACAGTTTTCTTCAGCTTGGTTATTTACCTTCCCAACCCTTGATATGCTGAACTGGGAGAAGAGTGGGGGTGATGCATGAATTAGGAGGTAGGTGTTAGATAAGACTTGTCAGCCTGGAGTCAACTCTAGAGATCCAGGGAGACAATACAAAAAATGTCCATGTGCATGGAGAATGACAATATAGAACATCGCAGAAGTGAGCAGAGTGAGCTCCAAGTTCACAGAAAAGGTAGATTTCTACCCATCACTGGTTTGAATGGTAGGATTGCAACAACAGGAGCCCAATGGATTTCTGACTGTCTTCTCAACTTCCAATCACCCACCTCACTGGCATGTGTCTTCCTTTGTCCCCCCAATGGCTTCCTCAGAGGAGGACGTACAGAGACGGGCCTCGCTCTGAAACACCTTCTGCACAGAGGGTTTCCCGGAGGCAGGAATGGCTCTGTGCCCCAACTCCTCATCCTTGTCACCGATGGGAAGTCCCAGGGGCACGTGGCACTGCCGGCCAAACAGCTGAAGGAAAAGGGAGTTACTGTGTTTGCTGTGGGGGTCCGGTTTCCCAGGTGAGTGCCTCTATCAATCTGGGGTCCATTTGAGGGCATCCTGGGGACCATGACAACTGAAAGTACCTTAGAGCTTCCACCATGGCAGTGGTGAGACTGGAAGCTGGGAAAACAGATCCTTGCATGTTTTCCTTTTCTATGATTTGCTGTTTGGGGATTTGGTATATAACGGCCCAACTTTGGGAAGTCAGCGTTTCGTGCTCTTTGGCGTTGTCTGAACAGATTTTGTGGCAAGTGCCAGAGAAGCAACTCAAATTCATTTGAGGAGAAATGGAAATTCATGGAGTCATCTTACTTTTTGGAGTGACCCAGCCATCCATCATGGTGGCTTAGGGCTTCAGTGCCATTAAGATTGTTTCTGTTGGGTCAAATATGACAGAATATACCTGTAATCCCAGCTACTGAGGAGACAGAAGTAGAAGGATCACTGTCCAAGATCAGCCCAGGCAAAAGCAAGGTCTTAGCTGAAAACCAAATGGAGCTGGGGCCATGGACAGAAGTACTTGGAATTGAATTCAGGACCTTGCGCATCCTAGGCCCGGGATGCACTCCTGGGCTAAATTCCAAGAATTAACATCGTATAAAACATTTCACTGTGATATTTCCATACATGCATATGCAATATATTTTAATCCTGTCCCTAATTTCTTACCAAGCAGTTTCTCACCATCATTTTGCTCCCTCTTCACAATCCAGTCTCCTCCTCCCCAGTGTTGCATTTTTGTCATGGGTTCTAATGACGGTGTCCACTGGCTACCTGTTCTGGACATTTCACCTGGACATCACCACACTGCTGGCTTTCCTATTGCTAGTGATCCCTGTTTGCTTTTCTCCTGTTATCACTTCAAATTGCTTTCTGATAGATTGTTTTTCTCATTAGCTGTGAGTTTTAAAGAAGCAGTCTATGAATCTGTTAAGATTCTGTCTCAAGTATGCACTGGTGGTTATGAGCCCCACCTCTGAGTTAGTGAATCTGATCATGTGCACATCACTTGAGGACTACCTACAGTTTACTTCTTGGTCCTCACCTTCATCCTGGTTGGATGAGGGTTGCTGTGAAGTAGTCTCTGGGCCAGTAGGATGGTGCTGCTGTTCACAAGGAGCCCGGATCCAGGAGGTGGCTGGGCAAGAAGACTGTGGACATGGGGATTGTGTCATTGGAACCTCTCCACAGATGGGAGGAGCTACACATGCTGGCCAGTGAGCCCTGGGAGCAGCACGTGCTGTTGGCTGAGCAGGTGGAGGATGCCACCAATGGCCTCCTCAGTACCCTCAGCAGCTCCGGCCTCTGCATTCCAGCTGCACCAGGTAGGACCGTCCTGCCCCGTGGCCAGAGACCTTGCACAGAAGGAATAAGGGTGTAGGGTCGGCAGAGTTTCGGAAGCAAGAGCTTTCTTAGGGAGGGAAGAAGGGGGAGAAAGAGGGAAGGAGTGTAAGAAATGGGCAGCTTTTTGTCCTGGTCATTGTATTCTGTTCCCTGTGACCTGCCCTATGCATTTCCACAGCCAGAGCCCCAGGTTCCTTTCTGTGTGAACTGATGGCCCAGGGATTGGGGTCCAGAGCTGGGGTAGTGTACCATCATCTGTTAAGTCTGCTTCACCTGCCTTGACAGCCCTGGGGGAATACAAGATGCCCCTCAAAGCTAAAGCAATGCTCATCAGATAGAAGGTTAACATGCGCATGCTCTGTGCAAGCCAGGGGTGGGGGTGAGTCTGGCCAGAGGAGATGCTCAGTGCCCCTGAGAGAAGCCATAGGTGCCAGGGCTGACAGCAGAGCCCCCGAGAGCAGCTGCTTGTGGGAAGCAGGGGTGGAGGTGGGAAGTGTCATCTTCTTGTATCTTCTCCATGTCCCATGGAAAGACTGCAGGGTTGAAGCTCACCCCTGTGAACGCAAGACACTGGAGACCATCCGGGAACTCACAGGCGATGCCCTGTGCTGGAGGGGGTTGCGGCGTGCTGACGCAGTGCTGGCCTTGCGCTGCCCCTTCTACAGGTTTGTCCATGTGGTCTGGGGCCCTGGTGCTGGACAAGGCTGTGGAGCATGTGACAGGGACTGAAGGAGACCTGGGACTGAGCTTCGTGGGAAGAGAGAGGACACAGCTTCTCGGTCAATCTGTCGGTCTTAACAGAGCCCAAGCTGGCCCGAGTAGCTGGGCCAGGGTTGTTAGGAGGGTCTTGCACAGGGAGTGGCATTTGTGTCCAGACCTGGTCCACCAAAGCCTTGGGGAGAAGTGGCGCACATGTTGCTCTCTGAGTGAGGACTTGGATTTTTATGAGGCCAGTAGGGACGAAGGGAGTGTTAAGCTATGGGCAGCTTTTTCCTGGGCATTGTATTTTGCCCCCTGTGGCTGGCCCTGTGGTTTGGAAGAGAAGATTTTTTTCTTTTTGCCACGACCAGGGCTTGAACACAGGAACTCACCCTCAGCTTTCTTTCTCACTCAGGCCACGCCTTCTGTCTGGGCTGGTTTTGAACTGAAATCCTCTATGTCCCACCCTCCTGAGTAGCTAGGATTATAGGCGTGAGCCACCAGTGCCCAGTGCCTGGATAGATTCCTTCCTTTCTTTCTTTCTTCCTTTCTTTCTTCCTTCCTTCCTTCCTTCCTTCCTTCCTTCCTTCCTTCCTTCCTTTCTTTCTTTCTTTCTTTCTTTCTTTCTTTCTTTCTTTTTTCCTTCTTTCTCTCTCTCTCTTTCTTTCTCTCTCTCTCTTTCTTTCTCTCTCTTTCTTTTTTCTTTCTTTCTTTTTTTTTTTTTTGTCGGTCATGGGGCCTGAACTCTGAGACTGGGCGCTGTCCCTCAGCTCTTCAACTCAAGGCTACCACTTGAGCCACAGCACCACTTCCGGCATTATCTGCTTATGTGGTGCTAAGGAATCAAACCCAGGGCCTCATGCATGCAAAGCAAGCTTTCTACCACTGAGCCACCTTTCTGGGCCCAATAAATTTCTTTTTAGTGAGCAGGCAGTTTAGTCACTATTTTTTTAAATTGATATACCTTCTATCCCATTTACTTCTAGAAAGGCCCTGTCCCAGAGGCGAGCCCAATGCACTTATCGCTGGCAAGAAGCTTGGGCAGGATGTGTTAGAAGGACCCTGAGGGGAATGGTAGAGAACAGGCTTTTGTTGTTGTTGTTGTTGTTGTTTGTTTGTTTGCCAAGGCCTAAGATCCTCCATAGAGGAAACAATACTGGGATCTGCTGAGGGTTTTCTCCTGCTACACCATGACTCATTACCCCAGAGACTCAAAAAGGTTGCAAGAGAGCCAAGTGCTGGTAGCTCACTCCTATAATCCTGGCTACTCGGGAGGCTGAGATCTGAGGATTGTGGTGAAACTTTCATCTCCAATAAACCACTCAGAGAAAGGCCAGAAGTAGCACTGTGGCTCAAGGGGTAGAATGCTAGCCTTAAGCAGAAGCAGCTAGGGACAGCACCCAGAACCTGAGTTTGAGGCTAGGAACAACAAAAAAAGGGGGGGTGAGTGAGGCCCAGTGGGCAGAGTATGAGGCTTTGGAGTCAGTGGTGATGGTTAGAATCCCAGCCCTGGTATGGCCCAGTGGCCATAGGTAGCCTAGCTCAGCCCTCTGAACCCATATAACCCCCTGGAAGAAGCCACGGTCTCATCAAGGAGCTGAGGAGTCAAGGTAGCAATGGGGACACCTTGCACATGGAGGCTACTCCTTGGGATGCTGGTTTTGTGTTGTCTCAGAATGCTAAGAAGTCATTGAGTCCCATGGTTTGCAAATACGCTTGAGCTTCAGAGCCTTGTAGGGCTGCTGATGCTGACCAGATAGAAGTAGCAGGGTTGGGGTGAAGGGACAGGGCCGGAGCACTGGGAAGGCCTGGAACCCTGGTCACCCTGTCCCTTTCTCTCACCATTGAAGGAACACAGTTGAAAACTACAGGTCACATCCCAGGGTACTGAAGGCTAGAGAAGGAATATAACAAACCCAGTCACACCGCCAGACTTCAGTAGCTAGGTTCCAGTATTACCGCTTCCGCACCACCTCCTGTGTTGTGGGCCTCAGAAAAAATAGCTTATAATAGAAAGCTATTCCTATAGTTTGGAATTTTGCATACAGAGGCCTCTAGTTTCCACTGTGATGGTCAGTTTCTATTATCCTTTTTGAAATCATCTCGGGGTAGTTGGAAGCATTCTCTAATCTGTGTGCACTCAGAAGTAGGATAGAATCAAGAAAGGAAACGAGCTAATCTTTCTTGATCCTCTCTGTATTGGAATCTTAGGTAGTTTGTAAGTGCTATAATCCTGTTGGAAACCTTTGACCTCTCAATCACTCTGTTTCTTTGGATTGTAGCTGGAAGAAAGTGTTTGTCAGCCACCCTGCCAGCTGTTATAGGACCACTTGCCCAGGTACGTTCTACCTTCAATTCGCCAGTTCTTTCTGAACACTGCATACTGTTTATCTGATGTCTGGAGCCCCCATTTTCCTCCTGTGTATGATGGGGGTGAGCAGCAACAAGTACTTCAGTACAACAGCACAACTACAACAGTAACAAGTACTTCTTTCACCTTCTCTGCTGCAGGTGTTTGGCTCTTTTCCTAGAGAACAGCGAGGAGGGAAGGGAGCTTAGCCCTTCAGGATTTATTCCTCTGACTGTCTGGCTTCAACCCTGTCCTATTTTGCTTGGTTGTTAATGGGTATTTCTCTGATAGGTCCTTGTGACTCACAGCCCTGCCAGAATGGAGGCACGTGCATTCCAGAAGAACTGGGCAGGTACCACTGTCTCTGCCCACTGGCCTTTGGAGGGGAGGCCAACTGTGGTATGTATGCTTGGGACTTCCAAGACTACTGGGGAGCATGCGAAGCCTGGGCTTGACCTTCTTAGACCTCCTCTTTCCTGGCACCTGGAGAAAACCGGCCCTTGAGTTTTAGAGCCATCTACTTTCCCAGTATGTGACCTGGCATCTGATTCAGCCTCTGAGGCTGGAAGGGCTCTGGCAGGACAGCTGTCTCTGCTTATCAGCTGGAGGACTGTCTGATGTGTGAGCATTTCTAGGGCTGGTTCTGGCAAGAACCTTTTTGTCTGTCTTCTACAAAAGAGGAGCAAGGAGTCTCTGCCCCTGTAGGTTGCAAAGATGTAAAGCAAAGGTCATATAAGCTCCCACTTTTAGATAGGTTTATGTGTAGTGCTTTTAGCATATGGTGAGGGCTTTCCACTAGTAACTTTTCAAAGTGTGCTGTTGAGTTTGTTGGAGATCCATAGATCTATACCTGTCGTTCAAAACTTACCTCCCAAAAGTCCCAGATGGATTATAGATCTAAATATAAAAGGCAAAGCAGGGAAGCTTCTAGAAGACACTGCAAGAGCATGCCTTCATGATCTTAAAGCAGTTAAGGTTAGAAAATTGGTGCCTTTTGCTTTTGTTGTGAGTGAGCCAGTGCCAGTCTTGAACTCAGGGCCTTGTGCTCTCTCTCTCTCCTGGCATATTCACGGCTGGTGTTCTACCACTTGAGCCACGACTCCCAGGGTTTTATTTTTACAGGTTAATTGGAGATAGGATCTCGCTGACTTTTCTGCACACACTAGTTTGAAACATCGATCCCTTAGATCTTAGCCTTTTAACTAGCTAGAACTACAGGTGTGAGCCACTGGTGCCTGTCTTGCATTTTGCTTTTTAAAGAAGTAGTTGAATGGAGATCCTTAGCCAGAAACAGGAGGGGAAGCTCCCCATATATCAATCTCAAATTCAGTGGCAAGCCCTGGTCATTTAATACCCCGAGGCCTCAGTTTCCCCTCCTAGGAGAAGGTTTCTCTGCATGGTGTGGGGGCATCTTGAGTGGAACTAATGTGCACAGTGCCCTGGCTGAATTGTGACAGTGGATGTCATTGTGATTCCAACAGCCCCCAAACTGAGTGTGGAATGCAGGATCGATGTCCTCTTCCTGCTGGACAGCTCTGCGGACACTACCCTGGAGGGCTTCCTGCGGGCCAAGGCCTTTGTGAAGCACTTCGTGCAGAATGTGCTGAGCGAGGACTCTCGAGCCCGTGTGGGTGTGGCTGTGTACAACAGGGAGCTGGTGGTGGTTGTGCCAGTGGGGGAGTACCAGGATGTGCCAGACCTGGTCAGGAGCCTTGACCGCATTCCATTCACAAGCGGCCCCACCCTGACGGGCAATGCCTTGCAGCAGGCAGCAGAACGTGGCTTTGGGATTGCGGCCAGGACAGGACAGAACCGGCCCCGCAGAGTGGTGGTCCTCTTCACCGAGTCGCACTCTCAGGACGAAGTTGCTGGCCCCGCACTTCATGCAAGAGCCAGAGAACTGCTCCTGCTGGCCATTGGCAGGGTGGCCGTGCGGGCAGAGCTAGAAGAGATCACGGGTAACCCGAAGCATGTGATGGTCTACACTGACCCCCAGGACCTGTTCGCTCAAATCCCAGAGCTTCAGAGAAAGCTGTGTAGCCGGCCACAGACTGGTAAGGTCATAGCTCCTGACCCAGGACTGTCCAGACAACAGGGTTGTCTGTCCTTCTGGTCACCGCTATCCATTTATTTTCTCCCAGCACCCATGCTGGATGCTGGAGCCACAGCCCAGCTCTTTGGTGGGTCAGCCACATGACCAGTAGATTCTCAGAATGTGGAGGAAACAGGTCAAGTACTAATAAGACATTCTGAAGGGCTTTTGTGAAGATTAGGTAAGACCAGCAACATGTAACACTTTGTACAGACTTGGCAAAGTATCAGTGTTGTATTTAATATTTTTCATAATCATTTTTAGTAGTGTTAACAAGGAGCCCTGCTCCAGGACCTCAGTTTTCCAACCTCTTTTGTTTCTGCTTATGTGGTGCTGAGGAATTGAAACCCAGGGCCTCATGTATGCAAGGCAAGCACTCTACCACTGAGCCACCCTCCCTGCCCAAGCTTTCCAACCTCTTTGATGGAAGTCCACAGAAAGAAATGTGTTCCTTGGACACACCTGCACAGACATGTGCATGCACACAGATGCAGCATACTGCATGAGTGCATGCTCCTGCATGCACAATGGGCACACATGCATGTGTCTGTGCACACATTAACACAATCGCGTGGATACGTGCACACATATGTTCTCACACATGCACAAACATGTCATTGAGATCAACCTGGGGTATATTTTGATATTCTTCTGTCCTGTGCTGTTTCACAGAAGTGAGCTGCTGTCTGAAGGTGCTATGGGAACAGCAGCTCTGGGAAGTGGCATTGTTCAGCACTGGGCAGGAGCGGGGTCACAGTTGGAGATATCATAGCTGGAACACATTCTTGACCAGTCCCCTGGGAGAGGGGACAGCAGGAAGCTTCATGGCTTCCAGCTGGTCACTTTGCCTAGAGGCAAGCGGCTTTCCACCTGTAAGAAGATAATGATTGGCCTGGGATGATGATTGTCCACTCTCATTCTGCCCCTTAAGGCTAATTTCTGGTGGAAAACAGTGTGTGTGTGTGTGTGTGCGCGCGCGCGAGTGCGTGCTCGCACGCGTGTGTGTTTAAAAAGAGGAATTGTTAATTGATTTATAGATAATAAAATGTGACAATAGCAGAGGGCGCCCCTGAATCTCCCCATTTCCCCCTCTTGTTAACACCTTACATTATTATGGCTCATTGTTACAGTTAACACGCTCTTATTGATACATTTCTATTATTTACTACTACACTTACATTTAGTCCCACTTCCTTCGTTTTGACCTAATGTCCTTCTGTTCACAATGCTAGCCCGGACCCCACAGGATATACAGGGAGCTTGTCTCCTCAGCCTCCTTGTGGTTGTTGATTTTCTTTGTACTACAGTGGCTCTGTAAAAGCCAATAAATCAGGTGATCAGACCTTCTGTCTCCATACTTCAGCCTCCCCAGTGGTTCCCTCTGCCCCAGGCCTCTTCCTCTGGCTTCTGAGAGCCTGGTCCCTGAGCCTGGTCCCTGCTGCAGAGTTTCATCCCTGCTGCAGAGCCTGGTCCCTGCTGCAGAGCCTGGTCCCTGCTGCAGAGCCTGGTCCCTGCAGCCCTTTTCCCTGCTTGGGAGAGCCCGTGCCCCGCCAGCATCAGTGTACTCTCCCAGTTCTTAGCTGAAACATCAACACATCAGAGAAACCCTTGTTGATCTCTGTCCGTGTTCCCTACATTTCTCTCCATCTTTAATTATCATTCATTTCCTGTCTGTGCTCCACCAACCACCAGCCTATGGAACGGGGCATTGACCTCTTTAGTGCCGCAAGTACAAGTGGGTGCTACTAGAGGACAAGTGATCATGAGATGGATGAAGGCACAGGGGAAGATGCTGCTCTGACAAGAGACCCCAAAGCCCAATGGCTTCCATACGCTCCAGGCTCCTTTCACAATTCACAGGAGAGTGACCTGGGACCGGCAGTGGCTTAGCTCCTTTGAGATCCAAGGTCATCATTTCTCAGTCAGCAAAGGGTGAGGGAACGTAGAAGGCAGGCAGCTTCCACGTGCACATGTTTGAATTCGCACCCTTTCAGGCTTGGAAATGGCATAGTTGCTTCTGATCATATGCCATCAGATGGAGCTTAGACATGTGGCCACACCTACTGGCTGGGATAGATAGTCTAGCTAGGTATTCATATTCCTGCTTCTGTTTCAAGAGAGGAGTGCCCTGTGCGTAGGAGGAGGAAGAATGGGGGGAGGGAAGGCAGGAGGAAAGAGAAAAGGGAGAAGGAGGAGGGAGGAGGATACTGCATGGACAGACAGCAGGGGCTGACCTGGGCTCAGGCCAGGTCCGGATCAGGACCCCTCTCTGCTTGTTTCCGCAGGCTGCCAGGCACAGTCTCTGGACCTGGTCTTCCTGTTAGACTCCTCAGCCTCCGTGGGACCTGAGAACTTTGCCCAGATGCAGGGTTTTGTGAGGAGCTGTGCCCTCCAGTTTGACGTGAACCCGGATGTGACGCAGGTCGGCTTGGTGGTCTACGGAAGTCAGGTGCAGACAGCCTTTGGGCTGGACACTCATCTCACCCACGCCGCCACACTGCGGGCCATGAGCCAGGCCCCCTACCTGGGTGGGGCAGGCTCCGCTGGCATGGCCCTGCTGCATATCTATGATAAAGTGATGACTGTTCAGAGAGGTGCCCGGCCTGGTGTCCCCAAGGCTGTGGTGATGCTCACTGGTGGGAAGGGGGCGGAGGATGCAGCTGTCCCTGCCCAGAAGCTGAGAAACAATGGCATCTCTGTCTTGGTTGTGGGTGTGGGGCCTGTCCTGAGGGAGGCTCTCAGGAGGCTCGCTGGTCCCCGGGACTCTCTGATCCACGTGGCAACTTACGCTGATCTGCACTATCACCGGGACATGCTCATCGAGTGGTTATGTAGAGGTGAGTGGGACAAGCCACGCCCTTCAGGTCACCCCTGAGACAGGACTCCCACTGAGACAGGACTCCCACTGAGACAGGACTCTCCACATGCAGGGTTTGCACTAAATCCTACGTGCTCACAAAGTCCCACAATAGCTGTAACTGACTCCAGTTGACATCTAAGAAGCAAAGAACTTAACCCAGACACTCCTTCCCAAACTTAAGATTCATGCATTCCATCAAATGGATGGCGTTTTAAGGAAATCTACAGCTCTCCAGTACTGTAAACACCCCGGGCAGATACTGATGCATGTAGCAAATGACAGAGCTAAGAGCCAAACAGGGCCAGGCCATCTGACTCCATGGCTTCATTTTGCTTTTAAAAATTAATAATAGGGGGCTGGGAAGGTGGCTCAGTGGTAGAGTGCTTGCCTTGCATGCACGAGGCCCTGGGTTCGATTCCTCAGCACCATATAAAAAGAAAAAGCCAGAAGTGGCGCTATGGCTCAAGTGGTAGAGTGCTAGCCTTGAGCTGAAGAGCTGAGGGACAGCGCTCAGGCCCAGAGTTCAGGCCCCATGACCAACAAAAAATTAATAATAATAATACTTGTTGTGGATACCAATGGCTTACACCTGTAATCCTAGCTACTCGGGTAGCTGAGCTCCCAGGACTGCAGTTCCAAGGTAGCCCTGAAGTAAAGTCCATGAGACTCATTTCCAATTGACCAGAAAAATCCCAGAAGTGGGGAGGTGTAGCTCAAGTGGTAGACCACCAGCCCTGAGTGAAAAAGCTAAGCGACAGCGCCTAGGTCTTCCTGAGTTCAAGTCCTAGCACCTGCACACAAACACACCCCCACAGTCCCCCCTCCACACACGCACACACACATGCACACACCCACAAAGGCATGTAAGCAATGCCATTGCTATGAACTTATCTGAGAGAGTCTGTATTACCTGTAGGAAAGCTAGGTGGAAGTTGTATCTCATTCATCTTGTCAATCAAAACACCAACCATTTGCTAACCTGTTACTTTAGGGCCTTAGAGGAGAGGAAGATTGGTAAGATGCTGCACCAGGGTCCTCATATCAAAATTGGGCTTGCTTAGAGCAGGGATCATTGGGTATGACCCAGTGTGGTCCTGGTGAACATGCTCTCCATTGCAGAAGCCAAGCGTCCAGGGAGCCTCTGCAAACCCAACCCATGCATGAACGAGGGCACCTGTGTCCTACGGAATGGAAGCTACCGCTGCCAGTGCCGGGGTGGCTGGGAGGGCCCTCACTGTGAGAACCGTGAGTATGAGAGTTGGGGAGTTACTGAACTGTACTCTTAGTCCTGCCAAGTCCTACACACTGCTGAAGACAGGCCTGCCATTCAACCACTTATTCATTCACCCAGGAAGCATGTCATATATCCCCGGCATTGGTTTAGTGCAGGGACTAATGCAATGAAGAAAATGAAGAAGCTGCCATTGTAGTGGTGAAAGACAATAAAGCGCGTAGTACAGCCTACAGTTAAATGGTGCTAAGTACACTGGAGGAAAAGCATGGCCGCTAGCAAGGAGCCTTGGGAGAACAGGAGATCCAGGGTAATGAGGATGAAAGTCTCTGACAGGTAGAAGCTGGTGGGCATCCTCTTTGAGTGTTTCTATTTGCTCAGTGATATAGGAAGAGCAGCCATTGGCTGAGAATATGGCCATGGAAGAGGGGCTGAGGTCTGGAGAAGAAGGAAGTCGCTGTTGGAAGAGTTACATTAACAGGAATCAGAAGACACTGGTGTCTTCTTGGCACAGATGAGCTTCTGACAGCCAAGGAGTGGGTGAAGGGCAGTCAGATGGAGTTGTGATGGCCTCTTCTGCTTGACGGATGTTGAGTTGTAGAGGAAGAGGGACAGGAAGGGCTTGCAAAGACTACTAGACCTTGATGTCTTCAGAGTTTTCTTTCTTCTTCAGGGGTGCTGAGAGGAGATGCCCCACACACACATGGCTCCCGCCATGATCCTGCAGGACAGCAACCAGCCTCCTTCTAACAACTTCCTGGACATCTCAGAAGCTGAATGCTGCCCTCAGCAAAGTGGGTCTCTTGGGGGCCTTTGCATGTCTATTTCTTGCTCCTGCTTGCAAGCCTTCATCAAGGAGAAGGACATTCCAACTGCAGATGCAGCTGCTTGGAGACAGCAGTAGCAGCTGATGTCACTCACTGACAGTGATGTTGAAAAAGTAATGTGGCCATGCTGTCTGTGTCTGGCTGTACCTTGTAGAGGAAGTCATCCGCCACTTTTCCTCTGAGGAGAATGGGACATTTGGTGGCCTAGTTATTTATCCCTTTGCCCACCACAAATGAAAGACAAAATGTTGCGACAATAATACCTAACAGAAGGCATTCACTGAAGTGTGGGGAGGACCAGATGGAAAATGTATAGACCTCTTTCTTTCCTGAAAGATCTCTTGTGTGCATTTACTTTTAGTGTAAAGAGAAACTTAGCTGGCTGGCATTTGTGAATTCTTTTGGGGACTGGATCTATCTGTATGAGGGAGAATACTGAAAAGGTCTTAGACTGAAATGTGCAGGTTTTATCTATGAGAGAGGGGCTGAGTGTCCAGAGCTTCCTTTTTAAAGTGTATTTAGGAGGGGTTAGTGTGATGGGCATATTAAAACCTCCATTTATCCTACTTCAGTGGGACAAAGAGTAGAATTCTTGACCTCAACAAGTGAACAATAAAGAAACTCATAAACAGTTTTGCTGTTTAAAATGTAGGTATTATGCTAAATTTTTGTTTTGATTTGCTTTTCATGCCCAGTGTTTAAAGGAATCGTACAAACAGATGTTGTTGGTTATTTATTTACCAGAAGTATTTTGTAGCTATGTGGCAAGAATTATTTGGATTATCTTCTGGCAAACTAGGTACTTAGGAATAGGTAGTTAGGAATGAATTCTTCCCCTTGGTCATGTTGTTGGATTTACAGTAGAAGTCTTTATTGAGCTCTGACAGAAATCCCGAGACATAGTTTTTCTTCTTTTTTAGCGTAATTTTTAATGTGTTGCTTTATGTACAAAAATTCAAGGCAAGGCTACTCTAATTTCAACACCTCTTAAAGAAATTCAGGTTTTCTGGAGAGGTATCACTATGGTATGATTATATGTTGAATGGGTGATCTGTTCTTCCAAGCATTGAGTTGTGACAATAATTTGTGTTTGAGGGATGTTTTCATTAATAATTCATCTCTTACTATCACAATATCCTTCATATACAACAGCATCAGGGCAGAAACACCTGCCCATTCAGAGATTCTGAGCAGTGCTAGTGTAGAAGCTGTGAATTCATTAAGATTTGTAACAGACCATTTTTATCATTGGGGTCATTATCTTTAGGGGTATATGCATGTCTCATTTGAATTACTTAGACTCCAGCAACAGACAGCGTTGACATATTAAGAACTTACCCTCTTTCTTTCTGGGAGGTGGTGCCCAGCCCTTGAAAAACAGCAGAGAATCTCTGTCTTATTGCCTAACCCACCCAGCACCTTTCTTTCATTTTAAACAAACCTCTAGCTTTAATTTCTTGCTTTTGCCTTTAATTATGTTTTTATAATTTTATAATTAATTATATATTTCCTTACAAAACATAAAACACTGTAGGATCTACCTTAAATCTTTATTAGTAAAGATCTGAATCCTGCCACATTGCTGAGGCCTCCAATTCAAGTTCTAACAGTTGAGCCTGTTATATTTGTAGGAAAATGTCATTTACCAATGGTGAAGGCTTTGTTTCTTCTGAAGCTGAATATCATTCTTCATGTCATTTTGTATCATGTAGGCTCTTCTGAATACTGTTTTTCTTTTGTTTTTTTAAGTAGTGATAATGCCTTTTATCCATACCTGATTCTGGACTACCAGTATGGTTTCATCATTAGAGTTGTTAAAATTTCTGGGAGTCATTTTATCAGGTTAAGAAGTTTTTTTTGGGGGGGGGGTTCTGGTCGTGGGGCCTGAACTCTGGGTCTGGGCACTGTCCCTCAGCTCTTCAGCTCAAGGCTAGCACTCTACCACTTGAGCCACAGCGCCACTTCCAGCTTTTATCTTTTTGCTTATGTGGTGCTGAGGAATCGAACCCAGGGCCTCAGGTATGCGAAGCAAGTGCTCTACCACTGAGCCACCTTTCCAGCCCCAGGTTAAGAAGTTTTTATGCCTATCTCTGGATGACTAGGGTGTTAAGAGCAAGGAGATATATGGTATTGTCTTTCCACTTCCTCACAGATAGTTTTTCTCATTTAATCAGTTAATGTGGTCAGTTGCATACTGGTATATTTTCAATCATTGAACCACTCTTTTGATTCTTTGGATAAACTCTATTTATGATACTTCATTCTATATACACTGCTGAATTTTGTAGACTAATATTTTTATTTTGTTTTTTTCACCAAATTTGAAAGTGAGGTTTAACTTTGTTTATACTAGGTATAGAAATTTTGCTATCAGACCAATACTAAGTATATCATGGAAAATTCCTATTTCTCAAAGTTCACACTGCTATCGTCAATATTATCTTGTAGCTAAACAATTTTGACAATATTTTAAAGCCTCTTTTTATGGCCTTACATTGTCTTTTTAGCTTTTTAAAGGATCAAGGTATTGTTCTGTCGTTTCTTAAGTAAGCAAATTTTTGTGACCAAGTTCCTTAGTTACTACCTAGACAATCTTCCAAGTATTGGTATGTTTCCTTTCACCAAGAATTATTTAGAAGTCTGTTTAACTTCCAGAAACATGAATCCTCCCTCCCCAATTTCCTATGTATAAATATTTTCTTCAGCTTTTTTTATGTGTGTTAAGTCTATTGTATTTAAATCTTTGTTCAGGCTTACTTTGGTCATTTGCTTTAAGGAGGATTAAAATCTCTTGCTAGGATCCTACCTTGTGGTTCTATCAATTTTAACTGTACAGTTAAATAACCGTGACATTTTATCAAATGCAAGGAAAACACAAAATACAATGACCATTTTATTTAAAAAAATTGAACTCACCACTTGGTAAAGGTTACCAAGTGTTTATGACACAGGAAATAAATGCCCTGGGATTAGAAATACAATTAAAAAAAATCTAAAAAGACTTTAAGGAATCAGTGTTAGAGAACTCTGATTCAGATTCCAAGAAACAAGGCAGGGATAACATATGAAATGTTTCAACCTCTGCTAGCCAACAACACTGTCACAGGAGGAAATGGAGCAGCACAGAGAATAGTACTGCCAATTTTAAGAGAAGAAGCAGGCTACCCTAACCAATTCACCATATTTTTCTCTTGAAAGGGGACTGGAAATTAAAATATCTTCAAAATGAGACTAAAAGAATATTATATTAAATAATTCTTTCCTAAAAGTAACTTGATCACAGGACTGAATCTGTAAACACAATAATTGCTTTTCTATAGTGATGTAAAGTTAAATTCAAATTTCATTGCTCTAAATGATGGAGTTTAAAACATATTTTTCTATATGTTATGGCATCACTTACAACTTTATTTAAAAGTAGTTGATTAAGGCCTGCCTTGCACTGGAAAAAAAAGTCCTTACTTTAGTAGGGTCATTGTCTTAGCTTCATCCCAAACAGTTCCTTTGTTTGAATTTCAAAGTCCATAATTTAAGTGGTTTTACACCAATGCTATCAATGCTGTTTAAAATCACTGAAGAGATGGACCAACTAATACTGGAGGCAAGGATGGTTTAACCCCCAGTACTGACAGGTATCAGATAAGTGACGACAGTCAAGTGTTTAGATCTTCTCAGTTAACAAAGCCACCTGACCCTGAAACCTAAACTTTTCTTCCATCAAAGTCTAATCATCAGAAGCTTTTTGCTACTTAAAAATCTTGATAAAGCAATGGATAAAACTTCAAAAGTGAAACACAGAACATCCTAAATACAACAATGACTTGCAGCTAAAAGACTTAGGTTTACAAAGAAGCCTTTGTTGCTGTTACATTCCCTTTGACTTAGCAAAGGGACAGAGCTTCCCTTTTTTCAGCCAAAGCTCTTTATTTGTTGTATTCCAGTCCTGGCTTTTTCTTCCAAACAGGTTCACCCTTGCTCAGAGTTTCTGTTTTAATGAAGACTTTACTGAAGCAGGATTGTCAAGAAGGTCCATACTGACAAGAGTCTTTAGATGGTGTTGAATTTCTAACTTGCTCCTTTCTTCTCCCATTCCTAGAGTGACATTCAAATACCAACACCCCCCAAAAGAAAGTTATTCTTTGTAGCAAACTTTATTTATATAGAAAAAATAAGAAAAACAGTTCAATGTAGTTAAAATAGATATGGCAATGATGTTTCAAACCTTGTGTGTTTAGCTCCACATAGAATACCTCTAAAGAGGTTTTGGAGGCTGTGACATGGGAAAGTACTGTGAGCAACTAGTGATGTCTGGTACAGCAGTGAGGGAGTAGAGGGTCTAATGGATTCAGTTATTGGCCATTGATCTGAGTGCCTCCAAGGATCTCCAAGCAAGCAGACAACCAAGAACAACATTTCCAAAAACAAAGGCAGCTCTAGACATGTTCCTTATTATGCAAATTAATTAAGGACTAATAACACTTCTTGTGTAGCTCAGGCAGAAACCCAGTCCCAGGATCCATTCCTTACTTATGCCTTGCTGACCCTTTAGCCAACAAGTCAGTTGGGACAATCCATATCACCTAAGTCTATTTTGGTTTTAATAGTATGATCCTTTGAGATAATTTATTTTCTGGTTTGAAAATACTTTGGTTATACTCTGTGAGAATAAGTTGTCCTTTTGAATCTATTGCCAAGTGGTGGTGGTGGGGAACAGAGCAACCTTGGCCTTATTTGGGAGAACACTTGAGTCAAGTGCAAGCATCTTTCTAATTAACCAGTGCCAACAACTAAGCCTAAGGCACAGCAAAGTCAGACTTCTTTATGTTGAAAGCAAAGCTCTTGCTCAGTGCAAGTGCCCAAACCCACAAAGTGCCCCCTGCATCAGAAGACAGGTCCCACTTTAGCACCTATTCTGCTGGCTGTTCTGAAGGAACAACCACTTACCTTAGCTTTCTGTAGCACGGTGCCTTTGCCTGTGACCATGACCGAAAGAGGCCTGTTCTTAAGCACGGAAGCAGAGTTGACAGGGGTGCAGTCTGAGACAGGGATAGGAGAGGCAGCTTTGGGCTATGGTAAAGGAGAAGAATTAGGTCAAGGGAAAGGAGACATAACCCACCTCCCCCAATCCATGTCCAAGTGGCCCTGTAGGCAGCTCAGAGGAGCTGTAGCATGTGGCACTCACACGGGGGCTTATGTTATCCAAGTGGGTGGTGTCCACAGTGGTGCCCAGTGTCACAGGCCCAGCTTCAGCCTTCTTCAGGTTTTCCTTCACCTCCATGATGTTGAGCTCAAGGTCCACACGCCTGCTCTCCTCGATGCGGCACTCCTCATCAATTTCCTTCAGCTTCTGCTCCAGGTTGGCCAGGACTCCCTTGTCTGGAGAGAAAATTAAGCCAGCTATAAGGGCAACATTTCAACCAAGGACAGTAATCGACGCTGGGTAGAGGCAGGGTCTACCAATACCACTTCTAGAGCCAGGCCTCGGCTCAAGGTGGGCCACTGCTCTGGTTATAACTCTTGAGAACCAGGATTGGCCATTTTGTATGCAGTGGGCAGACTTGAAGTCCAAGTGTATGCTTAGCATTCTCCCAAGCTAGGCAAACTCTGGAGGAAGAGGTATCTTCCCTTAGGCATGTGTCTTAGGTGTAAGTCACTTCTGGTAGATTCTGAGGCTTTCAATTCTGATACCTGCTAGTGTGAACAGTGACCCAAGAGCCTAAGTGCAGCTCTTTCAGTGGCCCGTGATGAATGCACTGTGCTGTTCTGACTGGGTCCCTCCATGACCTGGAACTTGGTGCTTCCCAAGGCTTGACCAAGCAGAGTTCCTCTGTCCTGGGACCTTCTTAGCTCTTTCTGATGTGTCCCCAATTATCCCACCTCAGGGGTTAAGAAAGGATGACCTTCAAGAGGCCATCCTAGAAGTCTAATGCTGGAGGAAACGATGGCACAGGTGTTCAGTTACTAAGTGACTGGCACGAGTCAGAAGCCATGTAAAACATGTGGTCAGAAGCCATGTAAAACATGTGCTCATTCCAAGCTTGATGGTGAATAACCATCTGTCAGAACATAGCTTAGCATGTGCAAGGCTCTGGGTTCAATCAGACCCAACCCCACAAGCAAACAACAACTGCAAAAAATTCACAGAGAAAAAAAATGAGCACATGTATTAGCAATGTTTTGAGGACTGGGAAAAAAATGTCTATAACAAAGTTTATAGTTAGTGGTGATATCAATACTTTGGAACTCAACTGATCATCTGTGATTTATTAACCCAGGTTGTATAGGGCTTATTAAGCAGGAGAATAAACCACAGGGAATAGTCTCCCTTTTCTGGACTATCTTCCTGAGTACTTGCAATACTTGTCCTTTAGGTTTTCCAAATCACCCTATCATTGGCAACCTCTTTCCTAGCTACTTAATTCTTGTAGGACAACTCTGCCTCACCCTGCCCTTCCCACCAGGTTGCCCTGTCTCCCCACAACCTCTCCACCACGATGTTCTGCATCACCACAGCTCCAGAAACACAGACCCAGCCCGCCCTGGACGGAAACCTCTGAAACCATGAGCTAAGATAAATCTTCCCTTCTTTAACTTGTTTTTGCCTTGGGCATTTTGTCACCACAATGAACGATGAACACAATATTGAAGAATGCTGAACTCTCAAAACCGAGTACCCTCTCTAGTGAGTGAGTGAAGGGTGACTGCTAACAGGTACAGACTTTCTTTGGGGTTCAAATGTGGATTGCGGAGGTGGCTGCATAATTTTGACTAGTTGAAAAACCATTGGCATATATTTGAATGGGTCAACGGGATGACATATGAATTACCAAATAAAGTAGCTGTCTAAAAACACAGTGATTCTGCATCCTCAAGACCTTTCTTCAACAATAGCATAAACTTCCTAGGAATCATCTGCCTTGGACCCCAAAACTGCTATGCCAGTTGTGCTTGGTAGGGCAACTCGACAGTTTAAACATTAAATGAGTTGGAGTTCTATGGAAAGATCCTGCAAGAATTAAGTGGCTAGGAAACAGGCTTCCAATGATAGGGTGATTTGGAAAATCTAGAAGGCAAGTATTGCAAGTACTGTAAGTTTTATTATTTTATTTAAAGAAGTACAATCTGGAAATCAAGGACCAGGCACTGCAGGTGTGGCTAACATAAGAATGATGAAGGACACCAGTCAGCTGACCCAGATCTCAAAACAAGACCTTGGCACAACATGGAAAACCAGCCGAGCAACCTGCTGGTCCTGTACCAACCGTCAGAGGTTCCCTGTGTACAGGATGCAGACTTTCAGATGGAACAGTGGGAAGAGGGGCCTTGTGTTGGGTGAAGGGCTCGGGCCCAGCAGTCTGGAAGGCAGATCATCCCTCCACCAAGCCTCCCTGAACCCTGTTCTGTTCCTCCCCACGTGGAGGCCCTTACCTGTGCATTTTAACAAAGTCTCTTTCAGCTCTCGTTTCTCTTTCCGGAGCTGAGCCAGATGCCCCCGGATCTCTTCCTTCTTCTTTTCCAGTCGTTCTTTCTCTTCTGTGTACCGCTTCACTTCAGCCTCTGTCCGATTCTTGCCAAGTTTGATCTCTACAGACCCAGAGTGGAGAAGCCCTGTGTCAGAGGCAGGGGATCAGAAGCAGCCCCAGCCCATATCCCAGGGTCAGACAAAGCCCAGAGTTTGGACAGAAGAGCAGAGCTGACCACCAGGTCAGCCCAGGAGGGATGGGAAAGGAAACAGAGTTTCACACTGTCTTTGTTAAGCAACCTAGGACAAAACCCCTTCACCTCTCTGAACCTCCATTTCATCATCTGAAATGGAAGGAATTGGGCTAACTTCTCCAAGCCATGTCTGAAAGGGTAAGCTCTGATCTAGCATAGGCACCTGCACTGGTCACCCGCAGCCTGTCCTTCACGGGTGGGCTGGCACTGGCTGGTGCAGTAGCTATGGTGTCAGGACAATTTGCTGGAAAAGAGATTCTCTGCTGCTCAGCCTGCAACTTGACCGTGGGGGTTTTCAGGGTGAGTTCCTCAGGCTCCTGGCTCTCCAGCTGCCTCTGCATAGGGAGAAAGCATGAGACTGGGCTGGCTGGAAGGCATAGGAAGACGCAGGGCTTATCAGCAGAGACAATGGCCTGTACCTGGCCTGCCAAGTCCTCTGGAGACTTCCTGCAGAGTTCATCGGGGGTGGGGCCTGGACTTGGGTCTACAGGGAGGCCATCAGCCAGATGATCCAGGTACAGTGATGGAGGGGAGGTGGCCCGGGCCTGGGCCCCGCTGGGGCTGTATAGGAAGGACTTGACTGGCGTGAGGTCCAGGTAGACTCGGTCAAGCTCACTCTCAGTCATGATATCTGTGGCAGGGGCGGTCTCCCCAGCAGGTTCTACCTGCAGATGACAGAAGAGTCAGGTGGCATTTGTGATGACCTCCAGTCTCTTAGCTGTGGACAAGGCACCAGCCCTTGATGTTGTTCCTGGGGACATCTTTCCTCTGGGACAGCCCCTCCCCCCAGCCATTGAGTCCTAGATAGGCTATTCCAGAAGACCAGGACATGGTCATTGCTTCCCTGACTCGTGTTTCCTCATCGGTAAAGAGGAAGAGGGTGGGGCCTTTGTGTAGAGTGGTGAGGTCTGCCACGAAGCCCTCATACAACAGGCATTGCTGGACTAGGATCTTCTGTTAAATAGACAGTCTGCCTCCACCATCAGTATAGACCTTGAAAGCTAACGAATGAGGTCTCCACTCTCAGGCTCTATACTAAACCAGAGCAGACAATCAGTGGTTTCATCTAGTCTCCAAGTCAACTGTATAGTCTCATAGACAAAAGATGAGGTTTCTGTGCCTAGGCATCTGTATCAGTGGCCCCGGGGGTGAGCATGTGACCATCTCTGGTGTGGAGGTTTAGTGGACAGCCTCAGACCACTGTGTGCTGTCCTTACTCCAGCTGCCAGCTCCGACATCTCTACGTCATCATACAGCTCCTCCTGGAGGTCCCGGCTGGGTAGACCATCGATGTATGTGTTGGGCTCGGAGAACTTCCTCTGCATCAGTCTGGAAGGTAGGGTTGGACACAGCAAGCATGAAGCCCCAAGGACAGGATGGAAGACAGCCAGCCTCCCAGGACCCCAAATGAAAGCCCTTGGCTGCGCAGAGATCTAGGGATGAAAATCTGCCTCAACGGGCTTCAGGGTAATCTCTTCCCTCTTCTCATAACCTTCTTCCTAGAACTATTCAGGTTAGATTCCTCCCAGAAACACAGCACTCCCGGACCCCCTCCTCTCTTAGCATCTCCTGCCTGTCTGCTCCAGATTACTCCCTTTCAGTATCTCCTCCAAGTGGCAACCACAAGATCCATTCTCCTTTCATCCCCACGATATACCTGGGGGCAGAACAGACTAGACACCATCCCTGTTTGGTATAGAAGAATATGGGTTCTGTTACAGTGGCTCAGCCAGCATTCACCAGCATGGGTGTTGATTCCTTATCCCAAGAAGTTTCTCCCGAAGCTCCAGCGTGCTCCTGGCTGTGCTGGAGACCCAGTGAGGCCCAGGAAAGGTGGTTGCTCTGCCCTAGGGAACTGGAGAGTGTCCAACCAGAGCTGCAGCTAGCTCTGGGGCCCGGCTCAGCCCCTAGCTCTTTGTGGGCTTTCCTGAGGGATGTTTCCTTAGCCTTGGACTTTGCCTCTTCTTGCTTCTGGACACAGTCGGGCCAAGCCCTGTGCTCTCTCTCATGAGAAGCCAATCTCCCTCTCAAAGGCTGGTCTGGGTCTACAGTCTAGTAGCATGGCTACAATGGAGAGTGAATAATAGAGGACCCCCCCCCCCTTCATACTCACAAGAGGGAGGTTTTGGCAGCACTCACAATACACGAAACCCTCTCAGCATCCACATAGTCGTAGGTGAACTCTTCTGGGTCTGTCTTGGAGCCTGATTCAGAGAGCAAGAGGCCTAGCCAGTGGCCCATCTCCTCGGAAGATTTGGCCTGGAAGGAGACCAAGAGAGACATGAGCCAGGCCAGAGTCAGTGTAAGTGATTGTCCCCAAGACAGCAACAGCGTGACTTCCAGAAGGCCCAGCACTCCACTGCCAGATCTGGATCCCCATTGCCACGCCTCCAGCATAGCTAATAACATATCCCATCCCCCAGGACCCTAAATAGCCTTTCCTGACTTCTTGATGCTACCCAGTGATGGCCTGGACATTCACTGGAGTATTACATGTGATGGGTATACAATGTATGTCTATATGATAAATGCTGTTAGTTACCATGAGCTGATAACTGTGAACATTGTCATCAACTGCCAGTAATTATCATTAAAATGGCTAACTAGTAAGCAATCATATGCACTGTAGGTCTATACCTCTGTTTATCACCCTAATCCATGCCCACAAACCTGCTTGTATTTTGCTAAGAAATAACTCCAAATCCATGTTTTAAAATGATGTCAGGAAAGTCGGGGTGCCTTAAAGACCTCACGAAGGTCAAATCTCTCTTTTACATAATATCCAACTGAATTGGGTGTTTGTTTCTTTCTAGACAACAATACATTCTAATAAATGGGTATTTCTACTAAAACAAGTACATTGTTTCTTGCCTTCATGACAACCCCCCCCTCCCCCAACCAGGCCCCAACCAGGATTCTCTAAAAGCCACAGGTCTGTTTCCATGAGGAAAGCCAGCTACCCTTCGGCATTGGGCCGTGCAAAACGACCATACTTTTGGTTATTTCCTCTTAATCGGAGAAGCTGGATTTGACATTCCGTTGGTCTTCTCTTTCCATGTATTTTCACCACCTGTGCCTTCCTCACAGGTCTTATTCTTCCCTTTCCATCCATCTGCCACCCAGCAGCTGAAGGAGATGTCTTAAAATCCACATCTGAGCACGTCACCTCTCTTGGAATTCTTAAGGGGTTTAATTACTCCTAAACCCAATTCTGTCCCATTTTCCCAGCCTTGTCCCAGCAGACATTCTCAGCTCCCTCCCAACTTCCTTCCAGTTACTGTAACTAAGCAACTGACTGGGTAATTAGAAGAATATCATAGAGTGTAGGTGTCATGAGGACAGGAAGCATCACTGTTTTCTACCATATTGTTATGGTATTGAATAGATGCTTGCCATTTGGCAAGTGAATGGGAGAATACAAGCTGGTCCACATCTCTATGATGTGGATGCTCTAGCCACCAGAGGGCAGTATTGGAGCAAAATCTGGAAGAAGACCCCAGGATGAAGGCCTGAGAGAACAGGAATTAATGGGTGAGTACATACAAGGAAATTGGGCTCCACCTATGGGGCTTATTACAAGGAATTATGTCACCTCTTGTTTTTGCAAATGTAACAGCATGTCAAACAAAGGGTAGGGCGTAGGAGAAACGTAATTATATCACAGAGCGAATCCTACCATCTGTCTAAATTCTGACAGTAGCCATTTTTATATGCTGGGACCTTGAGGTTCTTCTGGCTGATGTCAGCAAACTAAATAGCACCCATTAGAACCCAAAGCCGCGCTGGCGTCTCCCAGAGTTATAAATACTTTCAACTGCCCTAAGTGCAGGAAATAGCTCATTGTCCCATTCCTATAACACAACCACCCTGAGGTCAGAAGGGGAATGAACATTTTAAAAAATGCAAACAATTGCAGGCAAAGGAAGTAAAACTAATGGGTGGCTACATTGATTCTCGGCAGGAGAACCTTTCTCAATACTTGGACCTGAGGGTCATGTCCTCTACGCCTTGCTGTCTCTCCCGCCTCCCTCCTCCCTCACCGGCTAGCTTACCTCCAGCTTGGCCAGTTCCTCGCCATTGTGGAGGATGCGGAAGGAGTAGAGGTGGTCAGGGTTTGGGTCTGGGACCACTTCACAGCCCAGCAGGCTGAGCGGCTGCTGAGCTACCTTGCTCCGGTTCCGGTCCTGGTAGAAGTGTAGGTGATTGTCCCTGACAGAGCACCAGCGGGACTTCCACTGGCTGTTCACCAACACATTCAGGTAACCTGCAGGAGAGTGTGCAGAGACAGGAGAGGTGGACCCGTGGAAGGAGACAGGGCTGCAGGGAGGGGTAGCACCCAGAGACCCAGAGGAGATTCATCTCTGTGTAAGGGAGATAGACACCTGCAGGACGGGATGAGGCTGGGATGGGAAAGCTATCAGAGAAACCGAGGAAACAGGCTTCAGAAGCAACAGGATTCACCTTGCAACCAAGAGGCTCAGGTTGGGTGAGTTTCCTGCCACAGGGGCCTGGGTGACAAGAGGTAGGCAGCGCACGGCAGGTTAGAGCATGCACAGCTATGAACATACTACCTCTGTCCTGTGCACATACTCACTGGGCCACATACTCACAACGCCCCTCTCTCTGGAGATCCCTTTGCTCAAAAGCAGGACAGTCAGTGACTCGCAGCTGTCATCCTACCCACTCAGGAGGCTGAGATCTGAGGATGGAGGCTCAAAGCCAGCCCAGGCAGAAATGTTCATGAAACGTTTATCTCCAATTAACTATCAAGAGCCGAAAGTACAGCTGTGGCTCAAATGGAGAGCTCCAGCCCTTGGGCAAAAAAAGCTAAAAAGGACAGTACCTCGGCCCTGAGTTGAAGGGACCAAAAATTAAAAAGGATGCCTGTGCCCAACTTCAAAGAGTCTACCTTCATAGCCCAAAGAAGGAAAAATTATACTGTGGGATTCACAGATTCGATGAGATAAGAAATGCACAGTGGGTTCTCAAACTGGTATAAGAGGAGATTCTCAGAAGGCCCAGACAGGAGAGCTTTCTAGGCTCTCCTGCATCCCAATATCTTTCTGCAGCCTTTTAGACTCAGTCTCCATGGACCAACTTCCTTCTCAGCCTCCCAGAGCAACTGCCCCCAGCCCTCCTCAAGCTCCAAACTCGTTGCTCTGTCTGCTGTTAGAATATCCAAGTCCTGGTAGAGAAAAACTCTCTGCCTCCCTGTTGGGCCTTCCAATTGGACATATGCACTTCTCAAGGGCAAGACTGATGCTAAATTGTCTCCAAAGCTGATGGTCTGTGTCCTTTGACCTTTTCATCAGAAGCCCACTTCCTCTAGGCACACAGAGGCTGCCAGCACCACTGTGCATGCGCAGTCACATCTTCCTTGTTCTCAAATGTTTGTCTGTGCTGCATTGAGCTTCCCAAAGACAGGATAAACCATTTCTCCCTTTGGACGTTTTCTGAGCTGATAAAACACATCAAAGACAGCCTTGTCCCAGAGTGACCAAAAAGTGAGTAAAATCTAGCCCACCATGGATGGTGGGCTGCCATCTCTCTGCTCTTCATCTTCTCAGATGCTCCAGCTTATAAAAGCAGATCCCTTCCCAATCCCTAAGGGATTGGCAGCTGCTCTGAACCTTAGCAGGCAAAGGCAGCAGGGTAAAAGTACTTAGCATCCTGCCCAGTGCTGGACACACGATGGGGATTGTGAATATCTCCACATCACATTACTAGCACCTCACAGTAGCAAAGTAAGAGAATGAAGGACCAGACCTGGCACTGTGGCTCCCCACCCCCCTCCCAGCCCCCCCAGCCCATCACAACCCTCTGGGCCACATAGAACTTTGAGTCAAGAGAAACGGGAGCTCAACACTTACACATCCACATCCTGAGAAGGGGAGAAATGTGCTCTCACTGGCCACGCCCCTAGCAATGGAGACCAGGCTCCTAGGCCATGTGTTATTAGGCCGCAGGGCAGGGAGAACCAAGCTATGCCTCAGCTCTGGCCAGAGAAGCAAGAAGACCTTATCTATTCCCTTCCCATTCCACATGGTCACTCTGCTACCTGTAGTCAATAGGAGAACTTACCTGGGACTCAGGAAAGAGCTCAGAGCTCAGACAGAGGTAAAAACTCAAAGAAAGGAGAAGAAAGGACAGTAAATAGCCTCTTGGCCCCTGGGAGGGCTACAACTATGTGACCAGCCTGGGGAGCGTGATATCACACCAGGGTATTTTCTTCCCTCCTGACACATCTCCTCCAGTAGGATTGAGGGCAGCAAAAATGACCTCTGACAATCTATCGGCACTACGCATGTCTTGTGGGTTTCTCACGGTGCCTGCTCCCATCTCAGCGTCTTTGTGCTGACCCACAGGCACTGTTCAAGCTCAGGCCTTACCCACATCCTTCAGGCTCAGGTCCACTAGGTCACCTTTGACTAAAAAGCAGGAGCAGCTCTTCACATCTCTGGGTCTGAAGTGTTATAAAGATGGCCCAGGGTGCAGTTCCTTCACCTGCTTTCCACCCCTCCTCACCCCACCCTGCCCTCACCTCTGTACAATGTCTGCCACGTCTCACAGAAGCAGATTAAAGCCTGGCTCTGGTGGTTCACACCTACAATCCTAGATACTCAGGAGGCTGAGGTCTAAGGATTGTGGTTTGAAGCCAGCCCAGGCAGGAAAGTCCACAAGACTCTTGTTTCCAATTAACCACCGGAAAATTGGAAGTGTAGGTGTGGCTCAAGTGGTAGAGCACCAGCCTTGAACAGAGTAAAAACAGATAAGCTTCTGAGTTCAAGGCCAAGTACTGGCACAACAATAACAAAACTCAAACACACAAACAAATACACTTCAATGAGGAGACATCGATCAGTTTTTCCTCATTTCCACAAAGGATCCAATATTGCAGCAAGACAGAGTTTGGTTTAGCATCAAGAATGACCTACAGTAAGGACAAAAACAAACCCAAGCTTTGGGAACTCTCCATCCCTAGAGATGTTAAAAACCAGCTGATAGCCTCTTCTTTTGTCTTCCTAGAGACAAGGCTCCAGCCCAGTGAATGAGTCCCTGGAGGTCCTGGTTATGAGTCTTACTTGATGTCTCAAGGGATCTCTCTGTGGGTTCCAGTGAGGTGGATTTCTTCCTTCCCAGGTTCATTAGGTTGCTCAGTTTAAGGCCAGACGAACTTTTCTTCTTGACTGTCATGATGAGAGAGAAAGTAACTGGTTTGCACACAGCCCACACATAGGAAAACTCATCCTCAATACATGCACCCACCCCTCCTCACCTACACACACACACACACACACACACACACACACACACACACACACACACACACACACACACACACACCACTTCTGCTTCCCAAGCCAGAGTTAGCTTTCTCCTAAGTCTCACCTTCAAGGTGGTCTTATAGAACAGGTGAACATTTGAGAATCTTTACAGACTCTACTGGCTTCAAGGGATTTTGAAATAGGGTTGGAAAATAAGAACTGCTTATTAAGTTTTATAAAATTATGCAATTTGGCCTTCTCGCCCGTTTTCTAGGGTCTATAAGCTATAATATGTCCAGGTAATAGATAAGTTAGAGGACATGTTAGAACCATCTACCAAGTGCTCCAGGACCAGATAGCCAAGTTTCACACCCTGGAATTCAGTCACTTTCCCAACCCTAAGAGACATGGCATTGTTACCATCTTTAGTCTCTGGCACCTCGGGGTGCCCATCCACAGCAGTTCCATACTCTGCAGCTGACAAGTACTTCTCAGCTATATCTGGCTGCAGATAAAGAGAGACAAGTAGGGTCATCGTCTGGGAACAATCATGACCACCCATTCTCACTGAAGGGATCGTTCTTGAGTGTAGGCCAGAGTCACCTAATCAAACCTGACTAGCAAGAACCCAGGACAATGGTGGGCACCGTGGCCAAGATTCCCTCTGGGACTCTCTGCAGCACCTGCTTTCTCCATCTCGCCTGAGGTCCCTACTCCATCCAAGAGCAATTCCCTTGTCCAGTCCACCCCCCATCCTTCACAAGTACCACAAATGGCTGTTCAACCATACGTGACAGTGGCTTGATGGCCATTGGGAAGGGCAGATGGGCAGCAGTGTCCCCACTGGAGACTGGCAAGATGGGCACTGTCCACATGGGGCCAGGGGAAAGACTTTTGAGACCTGACTCTTCTAACAACACAGGACAGCTTACATGATGAATGGACAGAGCCTTTCTGAGCCTCACTGTGCCTGTGGGTCAAATGGGAGTAACATTGCTGACTGTAAGGGGTTGGTGGGACAAGGCATGGTCTCTGAGCCAGTGCTGGTAAATCGTGAAGCATTCTGAATGTTTCAGTCAAACTTCTAAAGAACCACCTATTCCAAATGGTCAGGAAACCAGCTGACAGCCCAGCCACTGGGCAGCCTGAGGCAAGAACCAGGGATGGTGGAGCCTGGCCAGTAATCCCCGCCATTGCTGTGTCTGCAGGGAGGACTCTCCTTGTCAATGGGAAGGAGAGCCAAGTTCACTCCAACTTCTGTTTTCCTTTTAGTGGTCAAGGAATGAGTGGGACCACAAAAGCACCAGCCCCTCTTTACACCACTTGGCAAGGCTGCAGATGCTACTCCAGGTACATATGGATGCCCAGAGAACAAAGGGTGTCTTCCAGCTCAGGTTTCTGGGTAGCTTCTTGAACGCTTTCCAGCCAGGGCTTGAGACCACACAGTGACACCAGGACTTTCTGGCTGCTCTGTGCAGGCACAGGCTTCAGGGTTAGCTGGGACCTACTGCCAGGCTGGTAGGACTCAAGAATTCACAGAGTGACTCTCTTAATTCCCACAGGTGATGGCATGCAACCCAATCACCTTCACCAGGTCCCTTTGCCCCATGTGACTTTTGCTCTAATAATTCCCCTCCCCCCATCCCCCAAGCTCCAGCAAGCAAATAGTTTAGGTCTATATCCATTGCATCCATTTTTCTGTCAAGCAAATGTTACTACCCTCATCCAAGCATTCTATGTTTTTTTATTAATTGGGCTGAATTTTTCCAGAGCAAATGACTCGAATTCTCCCTGCAGGTAGGGAAGAACCTTACTTTCTGACAATTCAGGCGCTGGGCATCTGGGGTGTACTGGTTCCCCTCGGATGCTCCTTCAGAAGAGAGGCCACTGACCTCCTGGATAACCTGGAGAAAGAGAGGGAGAGAGAGCAGCCATCAGCAGGCCCTCCTGAGGCCAGAGGAGAGTGGGCGGAAGAAAGGAGAAGATGCACTGCTTCCAAGGAACACGTGATCATGGGGCACACCTCCACACCTCTCCACAGAGAGGACTTGAGACTCAGGTACTTCCTTAAGGCCCTGTATGTTCTGTGCATGGGCAGTGAGGCCTTTGCAACCAAGTTCATAGATGGCCAGAGCCATCGGTCCTCAGTTCCAAGAGCTCCCTTCTGGCCACACTTCCAGCACTGGTGCTGTTCTGTGGAAGAGCTGCATTTGTTGATATGCCCCTGGCTTGGAGGTAGGGGACAGGGCTGTGGGCTTGCTATGGAGTCTCTACGATGCTTGGAAACAGGCCTGCACATTGCCTTGAGGACTGGTCTCCCACCATCCAATCCGCCTTCCTCTGGGAAGGAGTCTTTTACTGGCACCCGAGGCCTAAGCTGGGATCATAGAGGTTAGAGGCAGCTCTGACCTCACTGAGCAGCAATGCGCCCAGGCTCCTTCTGAGCCAAGGGGCCCCTTGGGGACTCCCAGAGGGAAACAGCCCAGGGCAGACACACACACACACACACACACACACACACACACACACACACACACACAGCCCTCCCAGGAGCCTTCTGGAGACACAGAAGCAGTTAAGTGTGACTTCAGAACCCCCTCCCCCACCCTGTTCAGTTTCTGCCTGGAGTCATTTCTGGAAATGCCTTTAAAATCTGGATAACCAAACAAAAAGATGAGCTATGAGAAAGAAGAAAAATGGCAGTTCACATTTCTTCGACTGACCTTGGTCCATGAAGAATATGCGAAATAATGTCACAAGAAGAGGGCAGGTGCAGGTCATCAGACTAGCTGTATGAGCCTGGGCCAAGGCCTCAGTTGCCGTGAGTGTAAGATGGGCAATACCTCCACAGGGTCAAGTACTTGGCACAGGGACAGCTGCATCATTCCTGATATTATTGGGCTTGAATATGCAGAAATCCTGCCTGAGGCAGGCCGTACCACTTAGCCAGGAGTTGAGTTTTATGAGTGCGGATTTTTCTGCTTTTTATTTTTCTGGAAAGTGCCTTGCCATAGATTCCCAATCTATCCTCAGCATCTTCTACCTACTATCTTGCATTGGTCATGCTGTGGGCCTGGTGTGTGATGAACTGGCAGACAGATGCCAAGCTAAGGCTGACGGCTTGGCAGATTGCAGAGATCCTTAGGAAGGCTGAGCCACACGGCAGGAGTGGGCATCCAAAACTACCACTGAATCCATCTGACCAGGAAAGAAAAAAAGTGTCTTCCTTGCAGGCTAGAACACAGTGGCTGAGGCTTCTGAAAGTATTCTTGTCTTTGAAGCTACTATCAGGGGCGACGGGGCCAGGGGTCTGGAGGAAAGGGTGTGAGAGTCTGGGAATGAATGACCTCTGGGTCAAGAAAGGTAAGTATGAGTGAGCAGGCAGAGGGACAATGCTGGAAATCAGGAGCAGGAGCAGTGTGCATTCAGTGTGTGCACGAATAAGAACACACACATCCCATGTATGGATGCGTGTCTATGCATGCATGTGTGAGTGTGGACATGGAACAACTGTGCAAATATGTATGTTCATGTATGTGTATTGTCCAATAGGAATGTGTATTTGTGTGTGCACAGTGGGTGAAAATGGAAAGGACTGGCGGAAGCCAAAGTGGGGACCTGGGCAAGGGACAAGCTAAACACCACTAGCTCCTAGTCAGCTCCGGAGCCTCTGACCAGCCCCTCACATTCTCCGGGCCTCCATGATCTCATCTGCGCTGGCCGAATTTCATGTACTCAGCCCTTACCCAACAATGCTGGACTGGGTGAGCACTGAGTAGCCATTAAGTAACCCACGGAAGAAAACTCAGCGAAAAAAGGGTGAAGTCAAGATTTGAAGCCAGAGCTTTTGCTCCCAAATGCCAAGCTTCATCTTTCAGAGCTAACAATCTGTCAAGAATGCGTCCAACCACAGACCTGCCTGTGCAGTGGTCTCTCATGTTCCATATCACAGTCTAACCACTGGAAAACTTGCAGTAAGCGTCAAGGGAGCTATCAGATCCTCCTTCATTTTGTCAGGATTCGCCAGACAGCGGGTGGTTTCTATAAGTATTTAGTGGCTTCACAAAAACAGCTCACCTGCTCCAGATCTTGGGGTACTCGGCCCTGGGGGTGGCCCATGCCTCAGGCAGGTACTTTTTCCAGTGATTCTTTAATAAGGAGATGCAGGGCCATTTCGGCCAGGCTTGCCACAATGGCTATGTTTAGCTGAGCTGGTGGAGTGGGGGTGGATACAATGCCGGAAACACGTCAATGTGGTTGCAATGGTGAAGTGAGTAGCAGGGTGGCTCTGGCTCACGCTGATCTCACCAGGGTCACTGCTGGGGTTTGAGACCCCTCCAGAAATTAGTACCAAAGCTCCACTTTGGTACTAATTTTATGTCTTCTGGAATCATTGAGTTCATGTTTAACATGGGGTAAGTAAGCTCCTCCCTAAGGCTTCGTCATCATCACACACCTGGGGTAAGAGATGGCACAGCTGCCCAGGCGATAGCACAGAGAATCCTAGGTCTGGAATCCCGTGCTTCTGCTCTCTTGCCAAGTGGCCTTGATCAGTCACTTCCAGCCTCCAGTCGATTAATTTTGCCCAGCTACCTCTGAGTAAATCTACTCAAAGCTTGTGGTCCAAGGGAAATACTTCACAGCTACAGTGACACCAACTCTTGTTTAATACGAAGCTGGTAATCACTTACCAGAACCCAAAAGACAAGTGGATTCCAACCATTCCCAATCTCTGCCTCTGAGGATTCAGACTGGAAGGCAGCATACTAAATCCGTTTCCTTGACGTGGATCACCATTACTAGGAGCACAGGAAACTTTGGACATTGAAGGACCATAGATCCTGTGCCCTTGGCCCACATCATCTGTCCTTCCAAAGAAGCTGGAATTCCAGGAGCACCTTACAGAGAGCTCTGGAGGAAGCTTCCCAGACCCCAGTGGCCTGATGCCTTCTGCCTGCCCTTACCCGGAGCCACTGCTCAGCCTGGTCCTTGCTCTGCAGGCCCAGCACGATCACATCGGCGTTCATTGGCATAATCTTCAGCTTGTGCTCCTTCTTCCGCACTTGCTTCTCCTTGTGCACAACGCTGCTGCCCAGCAAGTTCACGTCCAGCTGAGGGCTATGGTCTTTGGAGGATTTATAGCACTGGAAGAGAGCAGATGGTGCTTTGCCAGAGGCCAGGCCTACTCAGATCCTGTGAGGGAGGGGAATCTCAACACTGAAATACTCCCTGAAAACCTGACTTCACTCCCAAACCATAAGGCTGGACACCTTAAAGCAAGCCTGATGCTCCACTTTAGACATCAGTAACTCCTATTCCCCCCATCAGATCGACCCTACACCTGCAAGCCTCCTTCTCCTCAGCCTCAGCCCCAAGATCCTGCTCATCCCCATGGCACTTAATGATGCACTGTGCCATATAATGATGTTCAGGTCAATTACAGGTAGTGGTTCCATCTGATTATGTCATTGTCTAATGATGTCACTGTCTTCGTTTGTGTAAGTACACACTGTGATGCTCACACAGAGACGGCATCACTTAACAACACATCTCAAAATGTGCTCCATTGTCAGGGTCTTATGGCCATAGACCATAGACCCCTGTGGACAGCACTCATTTCTCCAAGGTGAAGGAACCTTTACCATATCTCCACCTGTTTACAATTCTTTGCCAGCTTCCCCACCAAAGGATCCATCAGGCACAAAACTGTTTACAATCTGCCTAGCTGATATCTGTGCTAGCAAAGAAAGGAAGAGATCTTCTTCCACTAGTGAAACTACATTGTCTCTCCGTTTCTTATTGAAAAAATAGGGTCCTTATAGGATTTCTTGACTGGACATCCTGAAATACAATCTCACAGGGTAGAACACATGGTGACTAGAAAAGAAAGGGGGTGTGTCATAATCCCATGGGGCTTTACATCACAGCATAAGAGTGCAAATTTGCTTGTTTTTGAGAGCATCGCTGTGTTGCCCTGGCTGGCCTCAGATTCCTGGGCTAAGGATCCTCCTGCCTGGCTCTCTCAAGCAGTCAGAACTGCAGGCCCAGAGCTGACCATGTCCAGCTCAAAACTGTGAATTTTAACTTAAAATACCAGGAAATGGGATTGTCATCAGAACAATATCTCTGGTTTCTTGAGAGGTCTTAACTTGGAATCAGCAATCCAGAGTCCCACAGCTTCTGAGAGGTTCCTACAGTTTCACATTGCTTAGGCCAAAGCAGAAGCAAGAACTGGGTCTGGGGGCTGGGCTACAGGAGCCACTGGGAAGCCACATACGAGGAAGGACTTTGGTAGGAAAAGTGTCTTGTTCTCCAGAATTAAGGTACATGTGATGGGGTGGTGGGGATAACTACAGCCCCCTTTGAGCGCCTAATGAAAATGACTGGATCTTTCGAATCCAGAAAAGACACATCCCCTCACAGAAAAATCTGCATATAAACATTTCAAATTAGGGAAGAGGTTAAAAATCTCCTGATATCAAAAGGCTATAACTTCTCCCACCCCATATCACATCAGGAAATGCACGTGCATGCACACACACGCACACACACGCGCGCACACACACACACACACACACACACACACACACACACACCCCTTCAAGGCAAGAAGACAGGCACTCACCAGGAGCCTGGTGTCCCTGATGACACAGAGCTGCTTAGCCCACTGGCCCAGCCACTTCTTGCGCCACAGGAAGGCACAGATCCGGGCATCTCGCATCAGTTCGATGCTGGCCTCCGGCGAGGGCCACTGGTAGGGGGCCGACTTGCCCTTGCCACTCTCCTCTTCATCGTAGGACTCATAAGAGCTGCTCACCGCCTCTCCATCTTCTGCAAGGAAGACCCACTCAGTCAGGGCCCCATTAGGCTGTGGGGGTGGGGGAGGGCTGTGGACAGGTGACAATGGGATGGGCAGCAGGCAGCAAGCAGGAGCCAGCCAGTGGCCCTCAGGCCACACCCCCACCTGCCCACCCCCATGCCCTTGAAAACAGCCTTCAACCCAGTATCACACTTCACTTTCCACTCTGATCTCCTTGGAGAAGCTTCTCCAATGATGGATGGTACAAGAGCACTAAGAACTTGAACTCGAAGTCTCTCCTTTTCCCTCCTCAAAGCCCAGCTTCCCGACCCTACAGAAGCACGGGCTCTCCCACTGACTGTGTTCCTGAGAAGCCAGGTGTCCTCCACCTCTGTTTCCTTAAATGAAAGATGTGAAGGATGAAGCCAGAGCTAGAGACTTTTCTAGATTTCCTTGGACCTGGCACTTCTGTCCTCCTCAGGGGGTCAGGAGGAAGAGAATGTCCTCTGGAACCAGCCATGTGCTTTGCAAGTATCCAGGCTGCCTGGTTTGAGCCCAGGTTGGGTAGGGTGGGGGGAGCTGTGGCTCTTCAGAAAGAAAGGGCCAACCGAACCATAGCATGCAATGGCTTTGGGAGAAGGTAACTCATCTTCTGTTCTATAGAATGTTGCCCCTCAGCAAATCCACACATTTGCCTTAGACTCCTTTCAGTTCCTTTTTCTCTCTCTCTCTGCCAAGTAACCCTGGACAGAATGAGCCTCTTCACCTGTCTCTATGCCCCTCCTCTGCTGCTGGCTATGAGCCTACCTCACATTTCTGTTGTTTGAAAGAATCCTCAAACTCACCCCAGGGCAAGTGCACATACACCACCTGCCTCAGTTTCTAGTTTGCTACCACTGCCCTGCAAGAGTTGTTCCCTTCTCCAGACTCATGTTTGCACTCCAGCCCGACAAAACCATGCTGTCTATCTTATCTATCTATTGATCTACCTACCACCTACCTATTTATCACTAATGATCCACTTGTCATCCTTAAAAAGCAGAGCATAAGGAAAAAGGAGTCCCAGGATTTCAAGCCTTGGCTCGGCACAGATGCCTTGTCTGTCATGACCTTGCTGACCATAGGCCAAAATTCCCTATGGACAGCAAGCTTAAACCTCCTGATCACTGGACATTGTCTTCCATTCAGAAAAATGGGCCCAATGACTACCTCCTGTAATTTCTGTATGACAGTCCTTGTTCTGCCCCCAAGTCAGACTGAATGGTACCTCTCTTCTGTCCTATGATACGCTTCAGAGAGGGACAGCCTATGGAGTGTTCAAGTCTTCTCAGAAGGACCCAGAAGCTTCTCTCCTATCTGCAAAGCTGGGATTTTGCATATGAACAAAAAAACACCTAAATTTTAATTAGAATATAGGAAAAATGGAAAGGAGCGACTACAATAGTTATTTTAATATTTATAAAAAATATCAATTGAAATATTTTAATGTCAATTTTCCTTTTAGAAGCAGTGTGTTGTTTCCTTCTTGGCTTGATTTTTTAAAGTTGCATATCCATGATTTTATACCTAGTAAACAAAAATGGAAATTTCAGTACAACTCAGCAGGGGACTCTGAACTTTCTTATTGCTGATGGCAACATGAATCCACAAAGCCTCTTAGAAAGCAATCTGGCAGTCTATTGTCTCAAGAGCCATAAACACTCATACTCTTTGATCCAAGAATCCCATTGTCCTAGAGTTCATCTTAAGAAACTAGATTTAAAAAAAAAAAAAAAGGAGGAAGAGCTAGGGATGCAGCTCCAAGGTAGAGTAATTGCCTAACATGTACAAGGCCCTAGGTTTACTCCCAACAGCAAAATAAATAAATAAAAATAGTAAAGAGGAGGGAGAAATGTTCCATGCATAAATATAAATATAATCATCCAGGAGTTAGTTAGAGCAGAAGAGGACTGGATAAGGAAAATATTTTTTTCATCCATTTAGGGGAACCCAGGAAACTGTAATCAATTAAAGCCCTCCATATCAGTTGCCAACTCAGCAAACTCCCCTGGGAGTTGATGACAGGGGAAAAGGGCACAACTAGGATTATGTATTCTAATAGATCAGCATGAGAAGGTATCAGAGAACTCACAGCAGCTGATATGTGCGGGAGGTAGGATGAAGGTCAGTATTTTTTTTTTGTTCTTTTAACTTGTCCTTGTTGTCAGTATGGTATGCTCTGGGCAAAAAGTGCAATAAGAAGAAAGAATATCATTGGGATTTTTCCTTCAAGAACAAAAATTGACAGAGGGAGGATACAGGGCTTGGTATATAGAAGTCGGGTCTGCCCCTACCTCATCCTGCATGTTTTAGCAACCATTCTGATACCATAGGTTCCCAGAAAGCTAACTTGGAAATAATATGTTGTCAATTTGTTGCTTAGAGAAAATTAGGACAAATGTATGAACAGTAAACGTGAGATCTTCTTAAGACAGGTTCCTGGCTCCCAGGAAGCATTTGGTGAGCAGGAATGAAAGGCAAGATGTTCAGATAATTTCACTGGGATGCACCCAGTGAAGGGAAGAAAGGCTCTGCATGCTCAGGGTCTTTCACCATTTTCAATGCCACAGGAAGAGTTGGTCTGTGAAAGGCAGAGTATGTCACTTCTCATACACACAGCAGATGGATGGGTGTGTGTGGACATGCAGGACCCATGCAGGAGAATGGAGAGATGCTCACTCTCGGGCCATGCAGCCATCTCTGAGAGCACACAGCAGGTGAGGAATCATCACATTCTAGCTTCAAAACAAGCAGTACCCAAGGTAATCGTGGCATAAATGACTCCTTCCGGCACCTGTACCCATCTGGGGACTCCAGCAGGGAGAAATCCACCAGAATGATCTTTATGATGTCCCGAAGGAGGCAAGAAGAGAGAGAGAGAGAGAGAGAGAGAGAGAGAGAGACAGAAACAGAGAGAGTGAAGATAAACAGGACCATACCCAAGTACAGAGACTCGGAGGTAGCCATGAGAGGTTGGTGCTCCCCCTCCAAGACGTGGGCTTGTCAAGACACAGCCCCCCCCTCCTTTCCCATCCATATGACTATCTGACACCAGTGGAATATAAACAGAGCCATGTGCGTTGCTTCTGGCTGGAGCTTTGCTTTTAAGGAGAAGACAGGAGTTCTCTGCTGTATCTTTACCGAGGATTCAGTGGCCCCAGAGGGTGGCAGAGCCAGTCATGGAAGGAACTTGGGTATCAAAACAACAAATACAAATTATACCGACATCAAATACAGTGAAAGCAGGGGTTGGGGGAGGGACATAATAATTTGTGGAGGGGAAGAGGAAAAACAAGTCATTTAAATAAGGATACAGGTGGACCCGTTGCAACATTTAGAAGTACAAGTTGTCATGTCGCAAACGAACTTTACAACTTTGGTGGGGGCGGGGGGGGGGGGAGGGTTGGGTGGGGGGGGGTGGGGGGAGGCTGGGAAGGGATGGGAAGGGTAAACAAAGGAGGAGGCTACAATGCTTGATAAGAAATGTACTCATTATCTTGCCCATGTAATTGTAACCCCTCTGTATAGTATTTTCACAATAAAAAATAAATAAAAATTTAAAAAAACAAACAAACAAAAAAACCAAATACCCACATTGAACTGCTCTGTGAGTGATTCGGGTCTTTATTGTGCCACTATAAAATGACACCGGGTTGTTGTTAGAGCAGCTGGCATCGCCGCCACCCCCCACTCACATGAAGAGCCTGATATCTTGGGCAAGCAAGGAGAGACCCGGATGTTTCCAGGTCATCAGGATGCTCATGAAACCTTCTCTGTCAGAGAGAGGCCCCTGACCCAGTGGGGCGGTGTGGGAACGCTGCTGACAAAGTAGGACAAGTGACCCATTGCTTGGCCTGGTGCAGGAAATCAGCAAATTCAGTGCTGGCCAACAAACTAGAACAAGGGGCTGGAGCCCAGTGTTCCTTCGTCCTGTGCAACCTGTGTGTCACAGGCTCAAGCAGGTGTAGGGACAGAAGGCAGGAAGTGGAGCCAGGCTGGAGAAATCCTCCTCTGTCCTAAGTGGGCCACCTTCCCGAGCCACCTCCAGTCCTGTGGTGGCAGGAGATCTGGCAATCTCCCCTCCCCCCCCCCACCCCCGCCACACACACTGAGTGCAGGCTGTCTCCTGGTGATCATCCCCCAGGTCCTGGTAGCAACTCAGAAGGATTCAAAGTCAGTGGAGAGACAAACTCCAAGAGGTTGAGCTCTTTCTGACCACTTCTTGTTTGTGTGGAGACCGAGCACCCCACGAACAGGCCCCTGTGTGTCTGAGAGGCAGGCCCTGGCTGGCAGGGCCACACCCGAGAGAGACAGGCTCAAGGTGCATTGGAGGCACTCACTGTGGTGAGTCACTCCTCCTACTTTCAGGATGCACCAGACAGCGGCACCACGCCCTCTGCTGTGGTCTAAAATCACAGTCCAGGCTGCGACCCAGCCTCCCTGGGCTGAAGCTAAGTGTCTGCCCACAATGCCTGCTTCTGAGAACTCCTCAGTCTCAACAGGCCCTCCCCTCCCACACAGTTCTGGGACCTGAGCAAGGGAGACCGTGTGAAGAAAGAGAAGAATCTGAGGTGGCTCCAAGTCCCGGATCCCACCTCATCATTCCTCCTCTTATTTATGGAACCATAATAACACCCATCTTCAACCATCTACATCACCACCACCAGGGAACTTTATACATTTTATGTTGGCAAACAGCTGTATGATTGAGAAGCCCTTTTGCTTACAAAGGGAGAAAAGAAGATGAAGGTAAAAAGGTGCTACAGGGCAAATGTTGACTGTCTCTCAAAGGTTCCTTTTCTGTCATTCTCCTGTTCCTACCACACTGGCCTCCTTGTGGTTCCTCAAACACTCCAATGGTTGGTTTACACACCAGGCCTTTGCATATACTGTTTGTCTGTCTACAAAGTTCTTCCTGAAGTTATCTGTCTGATCCATTTCCTACAGCATCCAGGAATCTGCACAAGATCATGCTGTCAGAGAATAACTCCTCTCCTGCTGAAATCCAGCCACTTCTGTTTTCTATCTTAACACATATCATTACCCAACACAGTCTGTGTTTAATTGTTTGTCTGTCTTCTCTCCATCCAATCTGAGTATTTCTGCCTTTGCATGCAGTGGAAGAATTTGGAGGCTGAGTTCTCACTTAGCCTGGCCTCCCATGGCCTGGTGCCTCTCAGCCAACATCTCTCCTCTACCATCTTTCTGTATTGAATGTAGTAACAGCTACGTGGGAATCTAGAACACACAGATCCAGGAAATGTGCACAGTGTGAGCCATCCTCAACCCCTTCTTACAGGGAGGCTGGTTCTCGCAGGGGTCCTGGAGATACATCCAGATCAAAGGCTAAAATATCCCATGACCACTTCTCAGCTGCAGCCATTTTCTCCCATAATGGCAGCCCCAACTGCCTCTGCCTTCCAGCCTGGGATGAGCAGGGGGTTACCACCAGACAGCATGGACCACTGGGTTAGAGCAGTAAGACCCCTTCCAGGCCCAGCCACTGGGACATACCATTAATGGAAGTGTCATATGGCTCTGCCTCTTCGTAGTAGCCCTCTGGAGACTCAACCTTTGGGACAGCAAGCTGTTTTCGCTCTGGAATCTGTAGCATGAACAAGTCAAACAAACATCTTCAGCCATGATATGTAGGGAGCATCTTGAAATTAATCCTTTGGATAGAATAAGAAACTCTAGAGCAAAATAATCTTCCAGCTGGCTGGACTTTAAGGAAAGAAGGAGAAGAATGTGAGGTACCAGGAGTCCCAGCCTTGAGATAAGACAGCCGCTGCGCATGGCTTCCCTTCTCTGTAGGTAAGAATCGCACCAGGCCACGTGCTGGTGGTGCACACCTGTAATCTGAGCTACTCTGAGGATTGTGGGTCAGAGACAGCCAGGGTAAGAAAGTCTAGAAGAGTCTTAACTTCAAGTAACCAGCAAAAATTATTGCAAGTAGAGTAGTGGCTTAAGTGGTAGAGCATTAGCCTTGAGTAAAAAAGCTAAGAGACAGTGCCCGGGCCCTGAGTTCAAGCCCTAGTACCAACACACGTACACACACACACACACACACACACACACACACAAACACAATGTATGTTCAGGGATTCACGGGGGAGTTGGGGTGGAGATGGCTGTGCTGGCCAGGAATATAAACAGTGGCCACCAAACATCTGTTTTTCCTGCAGTGACTGTAGCACCTGGCCATATAGGCAGCAAGCCTGGAAAGGCCATGGCTGTCTGAGTCACCATCCACACCCACATGCTCACTCAACCTCTGGCTGCCCTTGCATTGCTGGACAAGCTGCTCTCCATAGAGTCCACGGAGGTGGGGATGGGGACCAAGCCACGTGTTGAGAATCAAGCCTCGTGGCTGACAAGCATCCTGAACCTGGGGCACAGTGTACCGTGCTGGCCAGCCAGTGATACCGTGGACCTCAGGCAGCCATCAGTGATGTGGGGCCCAGCATTCAGCTAGAGGAGCCCCAGATACCCAGATACTCTGGGGTTGGGGAAGAAAGGAGGCCATGAGTTCACTCAGGCCCTGGGGTGGGGCTGCCAAGCTTCTTGCTTATGAGGCTGCTGCTGTTGGATTCTGCTTTTCCTGGCTCCACTGACCCTGATCTTCTGGGGGTGTTGGCCTAAGAATGATGGCCACTTCCCTAGAGACTTGACCAAAGACTAAGCGAGCAAAGACATGCATACACGAGTTTGGGCAGGAGAGATGTCTGGGTTGATATGTCAGACTCATGTCACATGGGAAACCCTGGGGGTGACTGAGGGTGCCTAGAGTAGACCGAGGAAGGATGTAGAAAAGGGAGCTATGGACACAGTCCACACCCTGTGTCTTTTCAGCAGAGCAATGGTCACACAGGGGAGAAAACTGGCTTGCACTGTAAAGTCAGCTGGCCCTTCTGGAACTTTCCCTGGGCCTGGACTCCATCCACAGGATGATTATAAGTTTTGGAAAGGCCCCTGGAACCTTACTATTCCTGTGTGGTGACATTTTCTCTACTCCTGCACCACATTTCTTTCTGACAAGGCCATGAACCTATCCAGGCCAAGGAGCCCATTGTAGATGTTACTGGAAGCCTCTCTAGAGAAGCCACATGCCTACTAGCCCCTGCTGCCTGACCCCTACCCAGCTCAGAGCTCTTGATACAGAGGACTGGCAAATGAGGAGGATCCCAGGGACAATTGTGCCCACCAGGCCCAGGCTCTGGGCCGCTTGGTCCACTGTATTTGGGAAACATAGATTTGTAGAGACTTGATGCATGGTGAATTCATCTCACCATGAGCAGCTGCTTTCCACCAGGCAAAGCTCAAGTGATCAAAGCCTGGGATACATCAGAAAGCCTTTTGCCAAGAACCACCAGCAATGCGATGGGATCCTCAAAGTCAGGGCAAGAGTGGGGAGAGGAGCAGCTGGAGTGAGCCCAGCCTGGATTTGCTCTGTACAGAACCTCCAGGAACTCACGGTCCAGTCCTGCCGATGGCCTCCCAGCTGCAAGGTGAGGGCCAGGGTCTTTGCAACTCTCTGAGTTTGTTTCCTATGAAAAATGGTGTCCTTCCTCTGGTAGGGGATTGTGTCTGTGTGCGTGGAATGGGGTGGGAGTTTGGGACCCAGTCACTGGCATCCTCGGCATCATGGGACACCCAGGGGCTAGAGATTAGGCTGCCAATAATCACCCATTCTGAGAAGAAGAGCCCCATCAGCTGTGACTCAGCAAGAGGGACCTGGTGCAATGAACGGTTGCAGGCAGGCATGAAGTGGAGTCACATCCTAGTTTAAGGAGCCCTGATGCCTTCAGGAAGGCTCAAAGAAGAAGTCAGTCCAGCTATCTAGGATTGGGAGCCCCTCCGAGGTGATGTGAACCCATAGATAAGGCAATGTTCATTGGCCAGAGGTCAGTGATGGTGGAATCAGCTTAATGCTAGGATGGATCCTAGGGGTCATTCTGCCTCTGCTTTCTATATAGATCCTTCCCATCTGTGGCCCTGTTCCTACTCTAAGAATCTTCTCACCCCAAAGGGGAAAGGACGTAGGTTCAAATCCTGATGGTACCACTCAGATGCTTTGGGCTTCCTCCCTTAAAACATAAGTACTACTACCACTTACTCACTGAGAACTAGCATAGTTCTTATAGCAGAGGCTTGGAGCCTTAACTTGGTGAACAGACAGATGCCAAGATCACTTCTACTTAAACATCAGAGGACAAAGGGCTAGAGACCTTAAGTAACTTTCTCAGGGTCAAAGAGCTAGTAGATGACAGAGCTGAGATCTGGACCCAGGGCTGCATGATTCCCATCCACCGGTCTATCTATCTATCTATCATCCCTTCACTCTTCAGTCTATCCATCCATCATCCATCCATCCATCAATACATTCACCTGCTTACCCACACACTCATCGTATTGAACAATTATTTGTGTGTGGCCTACTTCACAACACTAGACATGAAGTAAAAAAACAAAAACAAAACTGAGAGGCACAGTCCCCGTCTTGGGGAGTTTCTATCTGGTGGAGAACACAAATAATAAAAATGCCATGTCACAGTGGCAAGTGTCACAGAAGGGTGACTGGCTTGGTGGGCTAGAACAGGGATGGATGGCTCAGGTAGCCAGGTCAAGGCAATTCCAAGAGCTTCTTCTAAGAGGTGATAGTCACTGATGGGTCATGACCCAGGAAGTGAAAAATATTGCAGCACCGCTGACCACAGCACAACCTAAGAGCAGAAGGGAAGCCAGGGAAGAGCCAATGTCAAGAAGCTGCTCCTGTATCTGGACTGGACACGCAAGTCTTGCCACCAGGTCTGGAATGAGGAAGTTTGTTTCTAACTGAATAAGAACCACTAATGGGTTTCAGGCAGGAAGTATAGTGAGATAAGATTGACATTTGGTCATGGGGGCCTCAGCTGGTGACCAGAGCAAAACATGGCCCTTGTTGTGTGGCACTGGGGACAAAGCCCGGCATGGCATTTGATATAGAGTGATAAAGCACTTGATAAAAATCTCCCTCGTAGTGTCAGGAGTCTCGTGGGTCTGAGCAAATGACAATGGCCCCTGTGGGCTTTCTGTAACATCTTTTTTGCCCCATACCTTGCACACAGAGGATACTGGGGAAACACCAGAGGCTTGGAGGACTGACGCCTCGGACAAGGGCCTCGGTCAGGGAAGTACATCAGAGGCCCTGGGCCCACACTTACCATCTTGGATGGCGGGAGGTCGGGGAGGCTCTTCTGAGGGGCGGACGTGTGCAGGCTGAGCTCCCCGTTGATCAGTGGGCCCTGTTCCTCTGGCACTGTGGACAGGAAGAGGAGAAGCCATTGGTAGGGGGTGTCTGCGCATGGCAGGGTCTTATTACCTAGGAATGTCCGGTCACTTGGCCTGTCCTTGTCTCGTGAGTTCTATTTGAGCAGGTGTTAATTACCCAGGTAGGCGGCCATGGGAGCTGAAGTACTTTTTTTCCTCCCAAAACAGGAAATGTGCCATGGACAGATTCCTTGGGGTTCCTGGCAGGCTTCTCACCCTTCCCTGACATATGCCCCACGTCAGAAACAGTCCAGCCAAGCAGGGAAGCTGCCTGGCGGTCACTATATTAAGCTGGTCTCAGTACAAACCCTGTTATTATGGTTCCTCCCTCCCACAGTTTACCCACAAGGCAAATGACCCTGGGTAGAGTTGTCACTGTCCTCTGGATGAGGTCTACAGTTCCAGGCTTGGTGCTGGAGGTAGTATGGGGGGGGGGGTGTGGTATGATGAAGTTAGGGTACCAATTCTCTGAGTTAAAGGCAAGGCACTGAAGTTGCTTTACTTCGACCAGTCCAGCCAGATCTTAAACAAGATAGTTCAGGCAGGTCTGACCTCCGGCTATGGTGACCTATGTCCAGAGTCTGTTCTATTGAAGGCAAGCTTTCAGTAGGATAGAAGTAAGCACTTTAGAAACTGTGTCCCTATCTCTCTCTAAGCCATTCCATTTGAGCTACAGGCTTGGTGGTTAGGAGATGGTGCTTTGCCCTCTCTGCTGTGGGGCAGTTCTGCAAACTTCCCTGCCTTCTGGGGTCCCATCAGACCCATTCCAAAGGAGACAGAGGCACTAGAGAGGAAGCCACAGATTCTTCCAATAGGAGGAAAACTGTGCTGCCTGAGCCCCTTTGAGCTTCATCTGGGAACATGCGTGCAGTTGCTGACATGGCCATTTCTCCTCCTTCCTCCCAATCAGACCTCTATGAAAACACACAGAGCTGGAACTGTGGGATCAGCGCCACACACAGCTGCTCTCCTCCAACATCTGAATTATGACTTCCTGTTCCTGGGATGATGCTGGGAAAAGCTAAGCGATTTTAGGCACAGATTCCTTAGTCAATCAGCAAGGAGGTGGTGGCCACTGAAACATCCGAAAATACATCAACCCAAAATACCAAAACTAAAAATGTGGATGCCGCAAATAACTCCTCAGGCCTGTCTGGATGCTGGCTGGGAGGGAGCAAGGAGAGAATGGAACCAAGCCTGCGCCTACCCTTCCCAGGACTGGCTAGCCCTCAGCCTGCCCAGCCCATACCTTTGTCCTGAGACTCTGCATTCTGCTGCCTGTTGATGGTGACTTTGTTCATGTAAATGTACTCTTCATCAGAACCTGCAGAAAAAGATATGGGCTTTGTGTGACTTTGTGCTGGGACAGAAAGAAACACTCTCCCTATGACATTTTCCTCCGCGTAGGTCCCAATAAAAGCACCAGGCACTTCCAGTTGATTAAGAATTCACCCATAGGCTGGGTGCTGGTGGCTCACACTTGTAATCCTAATTACTCAGGAGGCTAAGAATGGGCAGGAAAGCTAGTGAGACTTTGAACTACTAGCTAGTGAGTCCATTGAACTACCAATAAAAACTGGAAGTGGAGCTGTGATTCAAGTGGTAGAGTGCTTAACTGTGAACTCAAAACTCAGGCCCTGAGTTCAAGCCCCAAGAATCTATCATAGAAGCTAAGCAACAGTGGCTTATCCCTGTAATCTTAGCTATTCAGGAAGCTGAGATCTAAGGATTGTGGTTCACAGCCAGCCCAGGCTGAAAAATCCATGAGACTCCAATTAGCCAGTAGAAAGCCAGAAATGGAGCTTTGGCTCAAGTGGTAGAGTGTAGCCTTGAGCAAAACAGCTAAGGCCCAGGCTCTGAGATTAAGCTCTAGTGCGTGCATGCATGTTCATGCATGCCCGACGCCTCCCCCAATGCATCATAGCGCTGGCAGATTTCCAAGCAAGATGAGTTGCTAACTGCTAGTTTTTAGGCTGGGGTGGGCATAAAGGGGGTGTGAAGGGCAAGGTGCAGAAGGATAGCTTCAGGAATAAAAACAGTAAAGTTGAAAGGCATCCAGAGCTTAAAGATGTATCAAGTTTGTTCTACAGAGCAGGTACACATCTGGGTTTCCCAGTACTTCATTTACATTGTCAAGTATCTTCTGATCCTAGTCTAAATTACTTGACTGTACTAATCAGAGATGTCTAGATAAAATGGGCCTGGCAAAGAACCTGAACATTTAGCCCGGAGGCTTCTTTGAGTGGTGGGGGTGTCACTAAGGGGAAGCCTAGGTGGGCATGGTATGGGCTCTGAGTCTAGAGGGGTGAGAAGGCTGGGAACGGGCTCTGGGGGGCCACTGGCCACCTGCTCTACCCTCCAGCAGCTTAGCCATCTCTGAGATCCCTTGGCCTAGGCGCCTTCCCAGTGCCCGCCAGCAGAGGAATATGCTGGCCAGCCCCTGCCACGCGCTTGGTTCTCGCTCCCCAGATATCATTCTTCACTTCCCCTAGAAGATCTTTTGCAGCTCTTCACCTATATTTCCTAGAAACTTTCTAGTGGCTGGAGCGTGCTCGGGAGCCAAAGGACCCAGCTCAAAGCTCTGGCAAAGGAGGCGATTCCGCATCTGTCTGTTACATAGCCACAGACCCCCAAGACCTCCAGCCTCAAACCAGCTGGCAGGAGGAGGCCTGGTGAGCCCGCAGCCATCAGCCACTGCAGGCCCCGCCAGGACCAGTGGGCAGTGTTGTACTAGGCAAGGATTGCAGTAGTTAATGGGAGACAATTCTGTGGAATATTCACCAACTGAGACACATGGGCTGGCTGAACAGTCAGAGTACAGTGTAGGGGACAAGTGCTTTGCAGCTCAGCCAAGCAAGCCATCGACAGCACAGTGCCGGGCAAAATGTCTCACCCTTCGAGACATTGTTTGCATGGGAAATGGTAAGGATAAAATACTGTTTCGTTTCTACCTAGCTCTGGAATCTTCAAGAGTGCTAAACTCAAATCATTAGGGAATTAGAAAAAGTAAGATAAGCTTAGAGTTAACAAAGATTTTCAGTCTTAAACAAGGTAAATAGCTCAAGGATTCCAAATAGGACAAATGGTCCAATAAAGCATGGCCTGCCAACATACAGAAATAGCATGTCATTTCAAAAATAAATAAATAAGCCAGGCACAGTTGGCTCACACCTATAATCCTAGCCACTTAGGGAGGCTGAGATCTAAGGGTTGTGGTTCAAAGCCAGCCTGGGAAGGAAAGTCTATGAGATTCTTAACTCCAATTAACCACACGCACACATACACGCACATGCACACACACACACACACACACACACACACACACACACACACACACACACACAGAGAAAGAAGTGAAGGTGTGGCTCAAGTGACAGAGCACCAGCCTTGAGCAAAAATGCTAAAGGACAGCACCTAGGCTCTGAGTTCAAGCCTGTGTAAATTGTCACAAGCATATTTAAGGAGATTGGGAGAGTAGTTTACTTTTCCTGGGTTTCTATCCTTTGTTCCAGCTTTATACTTCCAGAAATCTATCTTATGGGGAGATACCAGCATATAAATAAAAATTTCTTTGAAGATGCTCATTGCAATATTGTGTGAGATTAAAAGGAAAGGAAAGGAAAATACAATGTAAATGCCCACCGACTGGAGGCAGAGTAATTAATGGACAAGTGGCAGCGTAGCTCCACTTCTGCTGTCTGCAAAGATATCCATGAATTGGGGTTAAGTTAAATGATAAGTTGTGTTTCAGGGTCGAAATGTGGCAACATGTAGAAATGTGCCTCCAGACTATAAATGCAAAGAGAACATAGAGAAGAAACATGGGCGAGAAACCACAAATATATGAAAATGTTGAGATGGCCTGGTAGGGATCAGCAAAAATTTGGGAATCTATTTAGAGATTCTCAATGTGTATTTTTTGCGATCATTTCTTTTTTTTATATATGTGATTAGTTTCACACTCTGTACAGAAAGGAAAAAGCAAGATATTGATGTTATTGACGTTATTCTTTTAACAGATTTTAGGCAGGTGCTTTTCCCAAAGATAATTTGTAATTTATAATTTGTAAATTACAGGAAAAACCCCTCACACTGTCTGCTATTTTAGAAAAAACACAGTGAACTTGGCCCTAGAAGGCTGCTGTTTTGTACTCTGTCTGTGGGGAGGTGCAGCTGCTTCAGGCTAGAGAACCTTCTATTTGTCACTCATTCATTTTCTCAAGTGCCTTGAAGCCAGGCACTGGTGGCTCATTTATATTCCTAGCTTCTTAGGAGAGTGAGAGCTGGAGGATAGAGGTTTGAAGACACCCCAAGCAGAAATGACCAAAGGGAGTCCATCTCCAAAAAGCTGGACTAGAGGTATGGCTCAAGTAGTAGAACACTTGCTGTGAGCATGAAAGCTAAGCAAGAGGGTAAAGCCCTGAGTTCAATCCTTGGCACCAACACACACACACACACACACACACACACACACACACACACACACACACACACACACACAGAATGCTTTGAGGATACAGAAGAGAACCAAAGAGACCTTGTCACTGCTTTCATGAACCCAACAGTCCAGTGTGAAGAGATGACCCCCTCCAGGTGGTGTGGAGAGATGAGCTGATAGTACTGAGATAACGGGTGTCATTTCTGGGGATCTGCCCAAAAGGAGCAGCAAGTGACCCTTCTCCCACAGCTGGCGTGTGGTGGGAGGAGCCTGAGCTCTTGCTACAACTGGATACACAGACCATTTGAAGTGTCCCCAATCAGAAGGGCAGCTACTGGAACAGCCTGGAGCCTCTGGGCGGAGGAGACAGGGGGCATGGTTCTTGCTGGCAAAGGCACCAACACCACACACAGGCAGTCAAGTCCCTGATAAGTAGCCCTCAAAAAGAGGGGGCAGGAAGTTTATTAAGGCAAGGAAAACATCAGCTTAGAACATCCAGATGGATGTTTCCATCTGAAAAGCACAAATGTGTATTCAAATACATACACAAGCACACAGGCACACATGCATGCACACACACACACACATGCACACACACACACACTGCCTCACATGTGCAAGTGACAAGGAATCTTGTGACTGGCTTTTCTGAAATGATCAACCTGCCTCACCTTTAGGATAAGCTTTAAGGATAAGTTTTCCTATTCATACAGTGAGGAAGAGGCCTAGGGGAAGACCGATACTCCAGATTCTGTCTGTTCCCAGTACAACAGCTAACCCGTTGCAATAGAGCCAGGGAATGTAGTGGTGAGGCCCACCTTCCCTGGCTCCATGACCAATCACCTTCCCTGGCTCCATGACCAATGGCTGTGTGCCTCTGCGCAAGTGATTAGTCCAGCCCTGGTTCCCTTGTTGGTAAACTGGGGATAACAGGAAATCTTTCACAGATCAGAGGATGAAGTGACATAATCCCTATCACTGAACACATTAAACACTCCCTGCCAGTAAGGAGCCAGTCAATGTAAGTTGCTGGTCTAAGGAGCGCAAAGAGGGCCAGAGGGAAACTCACACAAGCAGCAGCTGTAGTAATGGGTAGACTCATGCCTGAGAAGACATGGAGTAGGTATGGTAACAGATATCAGTGATCTGGGGGCTCGCTGGAGATGCTTCTCACTGAGAAGCCCTAGATTTTGTTCTCAGCAGCCCCCCTCCTCACCCCAACAATCTGCAGACCCCAGAAGTGGGAAAGCTCTGACTTGACCAAGGCAGATGGAGAGCAGCACAAAGGCCATCCTACAGGGAGCCACGCGGCACGCAAAGGCAGAGGGCCTGGCCGGAGCCACTGCCAGTGCGCTCACTCCAGAAGCCATGGGTCAGGCTGATCACAAAGAGGTGTTTTCCAGTTCCTAACAGAGGCTGTCTTTATAAGCCAACATTCTCAAGTCGGAGCACATCTTCAAAGGTCTGGGGAGTGTGCTTTGTAAAGGATCCACTGATGAATCCCTCCGAGGGGTGAGTCATTCCTCCCCTAACTCTGGGGCTTTGTGCTGTGGATTTCCCCTCTGCTGTTCCCACCAGCGTTTGTTTGATGTGCGGGCCTGGAAGACGCAGCTACAAAGCCAGGAGGAGCCTGGGAACTGCTAAGGTAGCAAAGGTGTGTGTGGGGGGGGGGAACTGCAGGAAAACATCCCTGATGACGTGGTGGGGAGCCAGGATTGTTCCTCTAAGGAGACAGTTTCTGCTTTTGCGGTGCCTGACATTCAGAGAAGAGAAATGCACCCCCTTCCTCCCCCCACCCCCCATGCACCCCCTTCTTCCCCCCACCCCCCGCCGAGCCTGGGGCCCTGAATTGCAGCCTGGCAGACTCAGGTTAGATGCAGGAAGCATTTCCTGACTGCGCTGGCTGGAGCAGGTGGAGACTTTGCTTCCCTGGCATGGCTGTAGGTTGCTCCTGCTGAGAGGCAGATGGATTCAGTAGGCTCTGATGGTCCCTTAACTGTCCCCAAACAGCAATTTCCTGTTCCCAAACACCTGACAGAAAAATCAACTCAACAACTGTGTTGACTTTACAAGGTTTTCTTTTTAAAAAAAAAAGGGGGGGTGAGATCTAGATTTAATATAAATGAAATCATGCGTCCACGAGAAGATCTATACAAGAATGTTCACCGCAGACTTAAAGCCTTATTGCTCAAATATGTAAACAGTCCAAACATCCATCAACAAGTGAACAGACAAACAGACAGTGGGATATTTACAGAATGGATTACCACTCGGTAGTGAAAGGAGCAAACCACATGGGAAGATCGCCTACTCGAAGGAAGCCAGACACAAAGCTTATCCCATATGACCCCTTCATGTCTATGAAGCTCCAGGACAGGTAGCCATTGTACAGAAGGAGAAATCAGAGCAACGTGGCATTTGTGTAGAGATGGGGGTAGGAAGAAAGTTACTAGGGATAGAGCAAGACAGAGCTTCCTAGATGACTAGATTGGAATAGTCCACACCTTGTTTCTTTAATTGATTTTATTAATTTTACTTTATTTTTGCCAGTCCTGGGGCTTGAGCCCTGGGCCTGGGTGATGTGCCTGAGCTTTTGTGCTCAAGGCTAGCATTCTACCACTTGAGCCACAGCTCCACTTCCAGAATTTTGTGGTTAATTGGAGATAAGAGTTTCCGAGTTTCCTACCCCAGTTTCCTAACCATGATCCTTAGATCTCAGCCTCTTGAGAATCTAGGATTACAGTCATGAGCCATCAGTGACCAGCTATGCCTTGTTTTAGATGGTGAGTTGCACACTGCATACAATAACATCTATGCTCTTCATTATAAATAAAGTTTATCATGATAAAGAAGATGGGCGTGGGCACCAGGGGCTCACACCTATAATCCCAGCTACTCAGGATGCAGAGATCTGAATATTGAGTGAGGGTCAAAGCCAGTATAGAGAGACAAATCCAAGAGACTCCTATTATAAGCAAAGAGTTAGAAGTAGAGGTATGGCTCAACTGGTAGAGCACTAGCCTTGAGAGAAAAAGCCAAGCAAAGGCCCTGAGCTTAAGCCAATACCAACACACACACACACACACACACACACACACACACACGATGAAAACATTACAAGATCAAGGTCTCACACACACACACACACACAAACACACACACACGATGAAAACATTACAAGATCAAGGTTCTGTGATTTATAGCTTTGAAACTACATTTTCCTCTTTTTCCCTTGAGCTGCATAATCCTTAGAATGTTATCTAAATTTTTCAGAGCCTCAGTTTCCTCCCTCTGTAACCACAGCACCAACCTTATAGGAATGCCTGAAAGACCGAATGAGCTCATATGTGTGCATGTAAGATGTCTAAACTTTAGGTGCTCTTGTAATAGTTGACTATTCCTTCTCTGCTTTCAATGGAGAAAGAAAAGTACTTTGAAAACATTTTCCTTACAATCTCACCCACAGGCTACTGTGTTGAGTGATCAGATTTCTGGGACTCTGACTCAAGCCAAGTCACCTCTGTGCCATTGTTATGGGTTGAACTGGGTCACTCCTCCCCAATCACGTGGTCCAAAAGACTTCCAAAGATGACTCTGTTTGGACATGGGGTCTTTGTGTGTGAACTCAAGGCCTGTTACTGGATAGCCAGATACTCTACCACTACTCTACATGCCTCCAGTCCTTTTTTGTACTGATTTATTTTTTAGACAGGGTCTTGTTTTCTGCCCAGGTACATCTAGACTCTGACAAGCATGCACCTTCTATCCATGGAGACTCCATCTGGAACCATAACCTTCTCATTTTCAACCTTACAGTAGCTGGGATTACAGGTGTGAGACCCCAGTGCCCAGCTATGGTCAGTAGAGTGGGCCTACTCCAGTATACGTGATATTTTAATAATAAGAGGAGATCAGACCCAGACAAACATAGAATGGAAATCACATGAGGACTCTGGGAGAAGACAGCCATCAGCAAGCCAAGGAGAGAGGTCCCAAAAGGAGTCAGTCCTGTCAGTATCTTGATCCCAGATTTCTAGCTTCAAGAAGTATGAGAAAATAACCATCTTTTGTTAAAGCTACCCATGTTGCATTTGCCATCACACGGCCATCTTTCCATTTCTGTGGGACCCCTCTGAATGGCAGGGCCCACACTTACTGCTGCTCTTGATGTAGAGGTGGAGGAGTTCAGCCAGGCCGCTCTTCCTCACCACGGCTGCACTGCTGAGGTTCTCCTGGTCCAGGATCCTGAGGAAGTCTTCCAGCTCGGTCAGCAGCTGCTCTAAGGCTAGAGAGCAAAAAACAAGAGAAAGTTTCAGTATCTGCTTTGCTCTAGAATCTACTGCATCCCCACTGTGGCCTCTCTAGTCCCAGATATGAGGCTGGTGACACATAGAATGGAGGGACCAGAAGGTGGGATTCTGAGTTCCATGAACACAGGAGAAGGGAAACAGGTCTTTGATCCCAACAACCTGAGTGGGAGCTGCAGGTCGATCATCTGGTAGAAGAGTGATAGAGACCAAGATGGCCCCATATCCCAAAAGTATTCTCTCTATCACCAACATATAGCCTTGAAGGTGTATTATGGAAAAACAGAATTCAACCTCCAGAGGGCTTTGCCAGGTGACCTCAAAGCTGTGGTTATAATCAAGGTCATTCTCATCTTGATTCTCTCCAGGTAACTTTGAAATTGCAACTTAACCTTCTCAGATCAGTTAAATAAATGCATCTAGTTCCATCCAATTCAGAAACCCTATGACCTAAGCTAGATCGTGGCTTGACTAGATGGCTCTCTAAAACACAGATCTACTTATAGAGCCTCACGAACTGCCCAAGGCACCCCAAATCAACCACCCATCCACCTTTCCCACCACGCTCACAGCCCAGCCTTTTTTCCTCCAATAGTCACACTACCATGGGTTCCCCACACATACACTAGCCAATCCCACCCATCCCACAGGTCTTGGATCAAGTAACATTCCTCCTACATCATCTTCTCTTAGCCTCTGGAACTGTGAGGGCACCTAACAGCATCCCGTGTTACCAGCCCCTCTGAAAGGCTGAATGGTACCCCCAGAAATCTACATCTTATTCCCCTCTCTTCTGGTGCATATGCTACTTTACATGACAACAGGGACTTCACAGTTTGGTGGATGTAAGATATCCCTGGATTATGTGATGGTAATCCAGTCCAAACTAATGCCAAGAGTCCTGATAAGATTCACACAGAGAACATGGGAGGACAGATGCAGGAATCAGAGGGAAGATGTTACACTATTGGCTCTGAGGCTAAAAAAAAGCTAGAGGGGCAAGAGAATGGATCATCTCCTGGGGCCTCCAGAAGGAACCCAGCCCTACAGGTGCTTGGATTCTAAGTAAATAAATTTGTGTTGCTTGGTAATTGTGATGACAATAATAAGAAACTGACACATTCTCTCACAGCTTTGTTCCTGTCTGTGTTACTATTTTACTGTAAGCTCCAAGGACATGCTTCTGTGTCTAACAAACATTGCCAGGGTCCAGCACAATGTCCAATAAATGTTGAATGAATGAATGAAAGCAAAAGCAAATCCATCTGCTTGCAGAATACACAGTGTCACTTTATGGCTGGTATACAAGAATATAAAACTCCTGGCCTAGGTCAAGTGAAGGGAAAGGCTGCTGATATCCCGGTATGTGGTAGATGCCACCTACTACAACACTAGGACAGATGCACTTTTTAAATGAATCTCTCACTGAAGCCAGGGCCTTGCACAGACTAGGCAAGCGCCATAGTACTGAACTATAGTCCAATCCTCCCTTTCCTAGTTTTCATAATATGGTAACAACACTGTGCCCAATTGGTCTATAAAACTAGCCTGCAAAGTTTACCGGAAAGACTGCTATTGTAAAACTCAGAACCTAGCGTCGTATCCAACATCAGGGCTCCTGCTTTGTTCATAGACATTGTTTCTCCAGGACTTTGTTACAGCCCAGGCTCCTTGCTCCTTGCTTTAACAGTGTCACTGGGAGCCAGTCAATGGCTCAAAATATCACCGGAAGTCTCTGCTTCTTTGTCCAGCACCTGCCCCTGCCCCTGCCACTTTTGTCTCTGGCTTCCTGGTCAGACCCACATCCACACAGAGCTGGTCTATAAATAACCAGCAGGAGAGAGGCAGGGGACAATGGACACACCTGAGAACAGGGTAGGGACAAAGCTCTTCCAGTTGGTCAAATATTTGTCCAAAAGGATGAGACACAAGAACTTTCTAGAAGACAGAGAGGCATGATGGGTAATCAGTCACTGCTGGCATTAGGGGATGGTACCTCCAGCATCCTGGCAGCCTTATTGGGGAAGAGCCCTGGGCATCTGGGCTAGTGGTGCTTCTTTTCTGGAGCCTGACTCAGTCCCAGGCCCTGCTATCACTAGACTGGATCACTAAGGGCGAAGAACCATACTGCCAACAATACCCTGCCATCCTCCAAGGTGCTGCTGCTGCTGTGGGAGCTGGCCAAGTGGGCTGAACAGGGGCAGCTCTGGGGATGGGAAAGGGAAGGCTGACAGTTAACCAAGAGAACAGAGAACTCCTGTAATCCTCGCTACTCAGGAGGCTGAGATCTGAGGACCCATGTAGCTCAAAGCCAGCCTGGGCAAGAAAGTCTATGCGACTCTTATTTTCAATTAACTACCAAAAGAGTCGGAAGTAGTGCCACGGCTCAAATGACAGAGAGTGAATCTTCAGTGACAATCCTAGGGACAGTACCCATGCCCTGAAGTCAAGCCCATTACTGGCACAAATTTAAAAAACAAAAGGAAGAAGAGAACAGAAGACAGAGAGACAATGGCAAAATGTTAACTCTTGCCTGAAATCCAGCCAGTGGGGACCACAACCCAGCCCATCACCCTTAGCTCTGGTAGGCTGCAAGCACCTCTTTACTATTATGGCAATAAGCTTACTCAGGGTCCACTGAGGGCTGCTCCCAGAGCAGGATTGAAAAAGAAAGAATAAAAATGAGATTTGAGTCTAAGGTTGGGTCCTGTTTTCTTTCTCCCAGCTATTCATGAGCTTCCTGTCAACTGCTGGAACGCAACTGGCTTCAGCAATGAATTCAAAGAAGCGAAACCAGGGAAAACAAAGCACAAATGGGAGGGAGGGGCTCCAGCCGTGCCCTCTGCTCTGGGGGCCAGGGGGGTGAGAGGGACTGCAAGGGAGCTGGGCTCTCTGCCCCATTTTCCTTGACCTTCTGATCCTCTCAAGGCTGTGTCTCTGCCACCACTGCTGCAGTAACCAAAGAGCAAAAGCACGAACACTGGAAATGCCTCTGCTCTTCCACATCCTTAGCTTTTCCCAAAAGCTGCTGGATTCCTGGAAAACAGCCCTTGTTGTGAGCAATAGCTAAGCCAAAGGGTAGACAGTCTGTGCCTGGCTCACACTGGGAGACAAAGATCACCCAAGTGGGTCTTCAGCCCTTCCAGGGAGCCTCTGACTATGGAGGGGACACCTGGTGAACACAGCAAGTAAGAACAAGATTAATTTGGGAATGTCTCCATCCACAGACCAGGAATGCACTAAAGAGGGAAATGTGGATTATCGGGGGCGGGGTGGGGAGAGGGTAGTGGACTTTATAAGATGGTCACTGAGACTGAGGAATGCATAGGAGTTCACCCAAGAGAGGCAGAACAAGAGTGGCTGTGTGTCAGGGACACACAGATCATGGGCAGAGGGGAAGGTGGGGATGAGCTCTGAGGCTAGAACTGTAGACTGGGGTGGGATGCTTAGGAGTTAGTACAAATCCTACAGGGCCTGGGATGTGCTGGGAGGGCCGTACAAGGCAGTCCTCTAAGCAGGCCGGAGCCAGTGGGGAGGGTGGGTGGGAGGGGAGGCCAGTTAGATGATGGTATTGGCGCAAGGGGATGATGACAGTGTAGACTAATCAGGACAGCTAGGGGCCATGCCATGAGCTGTGCCCAGCACCTCCAGTTCTCATGGCTGCTCTGCAAGGACAAGGCTGTAGGGACGAGCTGCTGGGCCCCAATTATAACCTAATCAATTATATTCCCAGTGAGTAGTGGCACTGGGGTTCAAACTCAAGCATGTCCAAGTCCAAAGGACTTGCTGTCTGTCGCCTATTGGCCATAGTCAGTCCCAGAGAATTTGAGAGTTTCATCTGACTCATGGCTTCTGCTTTCCGGTCCACCATACTCTACTGGGCAGGAGTAGGAAATACACAAAGAGAAGGGGTGGGGGGTGACCTGTGACAGGTGTAACCAATGCACGTGTGATCATCCAGTGAGATGTGAAGACTATAAAAGAAGATGCCCGGATGACTAAGAAGTACAGAGGGACGCCAGTCATTTAGGACTTGAGGTACCACAGCAGCCATGGTGGCTATTTATTGGGGAACTGGTAGGTTGGTCAGATGGGGGAAGAAGAAGAATGCATAGGGTACTCTCTGCTGAGGACAGTGTTAATACTTTCCTTTTCTTCTAGAACAGTTGTTTTAAGTAAGCAGAAGAAATACAGGCCTGGGGACCAGGATGGATCAAATGCAGGCCTGAGGCTCAGCATGAAACTTAGGACCAGAGGGCATCATTCACCTTCCTTCGAGAGCCCCATCGATCTTGACTGTGCACACAGGTGTCTCTGGGAAACCACTGATGACCACAAGCCGTCCACTTTCTTGCTAGCTCTGCCTTTCTAGAGCTCTTTCCGTCAAAGCCAATTGTTCTAGGTCATTTCAGCCCAAGTCAGGTTTACGTTACCTGAGCCCTTTCTGGGTAAGGGTCAGGCTCTGTAGGTTTGATCATCTGACAAAGTGTCAATTGACCCACAGGGCATCAGTAACTCCCCAAGAGACACATCCTCTTGAAGTCTACTGTAGGCCTTCGGAAATAACAATTAACAGAGGCGAGGGGACCCAATCTGCGCCAAGCCCAGTGGCATTCTTCAGTTCCCCCAGGGCTCTGAAGGGTAGGCCACCCCTCAGAGGAATGTGGTTATTCCATTGAGGCTCTGGACCCCACTCATCACATTTCTCTTCTCCCCCACCATCCCCCACACTTTTCATTTTGGTCTCTTCTTCATCCTCCAGCGGAGGGAGGGGAAAATAAGCTTGTTGTTCATCCTGGAAACTGTAGGCCCTTGTGCATGCTTTCCATCCTGGCTCTGTTAAAGTTCAGAGTTGTCTGCTCTGCTCGGGGTCTGACAAATCCATCAATAAGATTCTTGTTTAGGACGTCCAAGGCCCACGCAGAACTGGACAGTTCAACTGCTCGATTCATTGCTCCGGGCCACGGCGGGGGCTCCA